AGTGCTGAGCGAGGTGTTTGTCTGAGTTGGCCTGTGTGTGAGTTGCTCCGGTTCACGGGGAGGTTTCGTACCCTCTGTTTGACGTCTCGCCCAGAGGATGGCGCCTCCATCCACCAGAGGATCAAGTTTAAGCTCCTCGTCCTCATCTTCAAAGTCCTCCACGGCTTTGCTCCTCCCTACCTCTGGAATCGGCTCAACCTTGACCAAACTGTCCTCTCCTTCTGCTCCGCGGGCTCCAGCCTCCTCCACGTGCCGCGCCCCTGCCCGCTCCACCAGCGGCGGTCAAGCCTTCAGCCACTCTGCCCTCGCCCTCTGGAGTACCAGCCCACAGTCCCTCCACCTCGCCGCCTCTCTCACTTCTTTCAAGGCCTGTTTCAAGATCCTCCTCTTGAACCGCGCCTTTGGTCTCCCTCCTACCGCCCCCCCCACTGCCCTCCATCCCTCCCTGACTCCGTCCAAAACACTGACTGTCCGGCGCCTTGGGACGTCCTCCCGATGTGGAAATGTCATTTTGTTGTTGTTATTGTTGTTCAATCCGGGGCTACATGTGTGTGTGTGTGTGTGTGTGAGAGAGAGAGGGGCTGTGTATGTCACTGTGTGTGTGTGTGTGTGTGAGAGTGTGTTTGAGGCGGGCGAGTGGGACTGTGTGTGTGTGTGTGTGAGAGAGTGCGCGAGCGACTGGCTCAGGCTGACACAGACAGAGCTGCGGTGTACGTGTTGTAGCGGGGGCGGAAGTGTGGGGTGGGGGGGATGTGGGTTGCGGGGGTTGGTGGTGGTGGGGGGGGGGGGGGGGGGTGGGGGGCACTGTACTGGCTCCCCACTGCTCTGGGCTATGGCTGAGAGCTGGAGCCAACCAACCTGAGGACCAGCTGCGTTCACGTGCAGCGGAGGCTGGGAATGTGGCAATGATTTTCCTGTGTTTATCTCCACACTATTACTGCTTGGCACGTCCTGCTGTCCGCACGCATGTGGCTGCCCTGCTCTGATTCCGAGAAAGCCCGGCTTTATTGCTTCCACCTGTCGGAGACCAGGAACAGTGAGGGGGGGGAAAGAGGGGAGGGGAGGGGAGGGGCGGAGCGGGGGTTTGGAGGGGGTTGGTTGGTGGGGTGGGGGGGGGAACACGCCAAATCAGGCCAGGCTAGGCCAGGCAGTCTCCCACCTGTTCCCCAGAAAGTACACAGTCACTCCACTTTGCAGTAGATCCTGCGTGAAGCGCTCTGAGCCGAGGGGTTAATAATCCCTCCCCCTCCAAAAAAATTGGCCACTCACTCAATCCCATTTTGGGACACTGCTGTGCGAAATTGGCTGCTGCGTTTCGCCCCCAAAATTACAGTCGGTTCACTTTACAGTATATTCTGCGTGTCCGTATGTGCGTGTCTGCGCGAGCGAGTGAGTGTGTGTGCGTATGCGAGTGTGTACGAGTGTGTGTGTGTGTGTGTGTGTCTGTGCGAGTGAGTGAGTGTGTGTGTGAGTGGGTACGAGCGCGTGTCAGTGTGTGTGCGAGGGCCCAGCCTATTGCACGGGGGTCAGGTATAAACACGTTGTGACAAACTGGGTTTAGCATCTTGACGTGAAGGCAGCAGCTCTGATTGACCACATGCGGAGGATTGGGTGTTACTATCTTAATTACTTTAAGGTCATTGCATTAAGAATCAGGCGCTGGATCAATGGGGAGTTGGCTGTGAGGTGGAGGTTTACGTTGGCAGCGAAGCTGTCAGAGAGCTGTAAGGTCTTGACACATTTGCCAAAGCTTGTTTGGCAATTGTAATCATACAGAGACCACAGGACAAGCCAGGGCGAGAGATAGAAAATGTCACGCAGGAGGCGGTGGTGGGGGGGGTCATGGGTGCGAGGGAGGTATACACCTGGGAGTGTGGACGGACGCCCGGTGTAGAGGAGCTTTACTGTGTCTCTAACCCTGACCTGGGAGTGTGGACACACAGTGTAGAGGAGCGTTACTGTGTCTCTAACCCTGACCTGGGAGTGTGGACGCACAGTGTAGAGGAGCGTTACTGTGTCTCTAACCCTGACCTGGGAGTGTGGACACACAGTGTAGAGGAGCTTTACTGTGTCTCTAACCCTGACCTGGGAGTGTGGACACACAGTGTAGAGGAGCGTTACTGTGTCTCTAACCCTGACCTGGGAGTGTGGACGCACAGTGTAGAGGAGCTTTACTGTGTCTCTAACCCTGACCTGGGAGTGTGGACACACAGTGTAGAGGAGCGTTACTGTGTCTCTAACCCTGACCTGGGAGTGTGGACGGACGCACAGTGTAGAGGAGCGTTACTGTGTCTCTAACCTATGCCATTATTTATTTTATTTTATTTTTGATGGGGTTATTACCCCCGGAAAGCAATCAGGTTTCTACTTACTATTAGGTAACAGAGGCGTGTGGAGTAAGGAAACTCGCCTAAGGTTTTGCCCTGACCCGCCGGGTCCTCTCACTTGCGAGGCCAGTGCTCTATCAATTACGCTCCACATATCCTGCGAAGCGCTTTGAGACGTCTCGAAGACGTAATAAGGCGCTGAATCAAACGCAAGGATTATTATTAGTAGTAGTAGTATCGTAGTATTATAATAAACGGCACAAGATTGACCCTAAAGATTCCTGCGCGTCTCCTGCAGTTTCGTAACAACCTGAGAAATCCAAATAGCCAACGAACAGTGCTCCCCAATTAATGGTCTCCAGCACAACAGACTCGCTTTAAGGCCTATCTCTCTGTATTGGGGTCTGTGCAATTGGAAATGGTTGTGGGAGAGCTGGCATACAGCGCCTGTTCCACAGGCAAAATATTTTCATTAGATTAGGGACTGTGTACAGCGGAACGACCTCTGGATGTGTCACTCGCTCGGTCTTTCCAGAACATTCTCTGCTCCCCTCGCACCCCTCCTTGGCCTCCGCACCTCCGCCAGGATCCCAAGTCAGGCGCCCTTTCCCCTTTCCAACCATTGCTCACACTCACACCCCGCCTCGCACGCCTTACAGGCTGCCTCCTATTTGTTTTGTGGATGATTTGAGGTTGTCTCTACGGCGGAGAGTTCGGCAGTGGGAGTGATTCCCTTCTCTCCCGTCCTGACATTCTCATTTCTCTCCTATATAAATATAAGCTATATATTTATAAGTTTTTAAATCCCCCACCCCCCCCCCCCCACGCCCCTCACGCTGGCTTCCTGCCACCCTCTCCCCCACCACTCCGGTCTCTCCCCCCAGCACCACCCCGCCACCCCCACCCCAAGCTTCTTCCCCCCCCCACCCCACCCCCAGCCTTTCCCCCCACCTCTCGTCCCCTGTGTTGTTGCTGGCAACGGATTCACACCCCTACGCAGCCGAGCCTCGCACCCCAGCCAATGCTCCTCTCTCTCTCTCTCTCTCTCGCTCTGAAAGTCAGAGACATAGAGAGTGTGAGAGCCAAAGTGGGAGAGCGTGAGAGTGAGAGATTCAGAGAGTGAGAGGGGGAGTTAATAATAATAATCCTCGCATTTGATACAGCACCTTAATCATGTCATTGAGACGTCTCAAAGCGCTTCACAGGTTACACTGTAAAGTGAATTGACTGCTCTGTGGGTGAAACGCGGCAGCCGATTGTGCACAGCAGCGTCCCCACAAACAGTTGCAGATTGAATGACAAAATTATTATTATTTTTTTAATTGTGGAGGGTTTATTACTCCCAGAAAGCGATGCAACAATCGACTAACAATCGGGGTTCTCGCTTACTGCTGGGTAAACAGAGCCATGTGGAGCAAGAAAACTTGGCTACGGTTTCATCCCGCCCAGGAATTGAGCCCAGGTCCTCTCGCTTGCGAGGCGAGTGCTCTAACCACTATTTATACAGACAGCAGCTCAGTCATGGAGATAGAGAGTGTGAGAGCGAGAGCGAGAGTGTGAGAGCGAGAGAGTGAGTGTGCGTGTGTGTGTGTGTGTAAGAGCGAGAGTTTGAGAACGTGAGAGGTGGAGAATGTGTGAGGGCGAGATTGAGAGAGTGTGAGAGCGAAGAGGTCCCGGGGTTGGGTGAGAGCGAGGGAGTGTGAACGAGAGAGTGAGCGCGTGTGCGTGTGTGTGTGTGTGTAAGAGCGAGAGTTTGAGAACGTGAGAGGTGGAGAATGTGTGAGAGCGAGTGTGAGAGCAAAGAGGTCCTGGGGTTGGGTGATGTGGACATGTTCTTGTCGCTGACCTCACTGAGAGGACGGGGAAAGCAGCCAAGGTCGCCCCTGGTGTCGCTTTGTCACCTTGAGACGTCTCAAGTCCGTTCACAGCAATTACCGACAAGTGTCGTGACTGAATCCCATTTCCCTGCCCTTTGGCCCTATCCCTCCCCGTTCCCCCCCCATCCGTCTTACTCCAAATATTCCCAACGTTCTGCCCAATAGCGAGTAACCACCGTTTCGATCACAGCGTTCCATCACAGTCGAGCGATCGAGTCAAGTTTTTTGGGGGGGATTCGACTCCACCGAGTTAGTGATTAAATAAAGACGATAAACCACACGTCCGGAAATCAGCCACAAACCACGACAACGTCGACGAACCATCGACGGAGCAACGAATCCCGACGGGGATTTGCAGTCCAAGCGTAAGGACAGTCCCTGCGGCCGACAGCGCTCCTCTCAATCAGGTCTTCGAGACGTCTCAAAGCGCTTCACAAGGGATACGCCGTAAAGTGTAGTGACTGTGCGTTTTGTGGGCGAAACCCGGCGGCGTCCCCCCACCCCCCCACCGCACCCACACAAACAGCCGCGGGGATTGGGAGACCCCCCATCATTATTTTCTCATATAAATCATTATTTATATTCCTATGAATATAAATGTATAAAAATATACATTTGAATCCCTTCCGCGGACTTGGGGTTCGGGCGGTGGGCGGCGGTGGGGGTTGAAGGGGAGGCGACGGGATTCGAAAGCGCTTCTCCGGCCCCGGAGACCAACGCGCTACCGACTGAGCCACGGCGCCGCCGCCGCCGCCGCGCCTGCGCCGTAGCCGACTTCAACCTCCCCCGCGCAGTTGGTCCCCGCGGCTAAGATGGCGGACGTGGACGCGCTCTTCAACTCCCGCACCTTCTCCTGCTGCGGCTTCCAGGAGTTCAGCGTGAGTTTAACCGCCCGCCCGCGGCCATTACTCTCGCTCCTCCGCTGATAAACCTCTCCCCCACACCCCCTCTCCATTCCCCCCCACCCATCCACACCCTCTCACCCCACCTCTCGGCCTAGGCCCCGCCGGAGTGGCCGAGGCCTCGGGCTGGCGTAGCCGAGGAGGCCGGGCGAAGCGGCCGCAGCCCCGGCCTCCGAACCACCAGGACCCGGGCCCCGGGGCTGAGCTCTCAGGGGGCTTTCGTGTGTGTGTGTGTGTGTTGTTGTTGTCGTCGTCAAACCGTTTCTCCCCCCAAAACCAACGCAAAGCTCCGGGTGTCCCCCCAACGCCGTATAATACAATATATATATATATATGTGTATATATCTCTCTACAATATATAGTAATGTAACACCGGGGGTTCGCGGTGTGTGACGCGTAATATAAAGGCTCGAGGGTGGGCTTTGCCTCCGGTTTCTTTGGTGAAGTTTCCGTGGGGGGAGAAATTCGATATTAAAATAATAATAATAATAATAATGGCGGCGGCGATGATGATGATGATGAGGATGAAGGCGAAGGCGGGCGGGCGTTCTGGTAGGAAGGGATCGTAGGCGTTTCGAGGGCGTTCTTAATCCAAATCCCTCTTGTAATCTCTCAACGATGGTAACCTTTGCCTTTGACGCGCCCGACCCCGACCCTCACCCCAACCCCGACCCCGTCCAGGACCCCGACCCCGACCCTCACCCCGTCTTCCAGACGTCTCACCCAGCGCTCGGCGGAGCGCAGCAGCCGGTCGCCCGCGCGGCGGTCGGTGTTCTCCCCCCCGGCGGGCCGAGCGACCTCCGTCCGTCCGGCTGTCCGGCTGTCCGGCCGATCGACTTAACGGCGCTGCGTTGGCCCGGCACGGCCCTGCACGCTCCCGGGACTCGTCGGGAACGTTGCCCGAGGTTTCGCTCCCGCCCGGCGGGGGGGGGGGGAATCGGGCTCGTCTCGCGGGCGAGGGGCGCGCCCTGCCCGCTCCGCCACGGGACTCCGCGGGCGGCCGGCTACCGGACACCCCCCCCGTGGCTAATGATTCCGCGGCTCTAACCGCACGCGCTGCGAGAGTCTTCCAGGCCAGGAGAAGCGTCGTGCCGGTCGCAATGGCCGGACGGCGCAGGCTTTGACGGGCGAGAAGGAAGAGCGTTTCGTTTCAAAGTTTAATTCTCGGGATTAATCTGCCGCAGCCGGAGTTTACACAGAGTGAGTGCCGTGTGTTACCCGGCAATGCTGCAGAGAAAACAAACAAACCTCGCTTTCTGTGATGTGCTACCGTGGCCCCCACTGAGTACTTGTGTCACAATAGTCGTGGGGCAGATGGCTTTAATGATAAATTATTTTGCCAACAGTGGGGGGAGGCAGAGAGAGGATATACCGAAAGTGGCAGCGTTGTAAAATAACCTGACTCAGTCATATGGTATGAATAGCCTTCTAAGCTCGTGAACGCTCATGCAGTACATTGACTACTGGAGCTTTCTGCCTTGAATGTTAGTTATTTGGTGTCAGCCTGACGTACAGTCAATTCACTTTACAGTGTGGCCTGTAAAGCGCTTTGGAGACGTCTCAACGACATGATAAGGCTCTGGATCAAATGCAACCATCATTATTAACAGCTGTAGTTACTTTTGTCCCTGGGTCAGAAGCCTGTGGAATACTGTGTAGACCGAACTCTGCTGAGGTAATGTAGGACTCCAGAGTTGAGGTGATAGCTTTCTGGTGATAATTTAACCCAAGGTCCTGTCTGCCTGCTCAGGTGAACATTCAGGATCCTGTGACATTGTGAAAAAGAAGGGAGTTTCACCTGGCATTCTGGCTAATGATCTTCCAGATTAATTGGACAGTCATCTCATGGCTGTTTGTGGGAACCTTACTGTGCGTAAAATGGTTGCCTGCAAAAAAGTCACTACACTTGAGAATAGCTATGAAATGTTTTGAGACATTTTGGTGTGATAAGGCGCTATATCAATACACGTTGTGCTCTTTTAAATTGTTGGGTTAGGGTTGCGTCACCTGATGGTGTTATTTCCATAATCCCACAGCTTCTCCCCGGCCACCGGAAGCTGACAGAGCGAGTGAAAAAGCGGCTGTACTATGGGCAAGACATGGACTGTAACATGGACGCACTCTCCTGTCCTGTCACTGGTATGTGGATATGTTCTGTGTTTAACAGGATGAGGTTGCATAAGGTAAACCAAGAGAAAATCTTTCCACTGATTAGTGCGTCAGTAATGACACAACCCCCAGCTCTGGTGCATACCCTCGACCGTCCAGCACCCTTCCGACGTGGAAAGAGCGATATAAATGCAATTTGTTGTTGAATTGCCTCCGTTTGTGCTGCAAATTTCTATGGTTCTCTTGGGGAAATATATCTGTGCAAAGTTTAGGTTAACTGCACACTTGGCTCAGGGACCAGAAACAGTTGCTTCAAAGCAGACGTGACTTGTTGCATGTAGGTGTGGTCCCTCTAAGACACACACACACACACACACAAGCTGCTATGGAGCTCTCCAACCAAATTGTGTACAACAACAGCAAACTGTCTTTATGTAGCACCTTTCATGTTGGGATTGGGATCAGGAGTGGTGGATGAGGATGGGCTATAAACCCAATCTTTTACTTTTTCTCTTCTAGACATCGCGGTTGAGCTGCTTCAGAAATCAGCACCGAGTCCCATCCGAAAGCTCCGGAAGAAATACGCCGCTCATGTGGCCAGGTGAGTTAGACCAGACCAACAAGAGGCAGGAATGTAACAAGGCTCCTCCCAGCGAAAGCCAACTAATCCACTTGTAACCGTCTCTGTGTGAAAAATGTTTTACGGTATATTCTTTGAGACTGCTTTCTGATCTTGGAGAATGCTGATACATTTCTGATCTATCCAGTTTCACACAATCTCTCTGTTTGGTGCTGTATGACAACTGATTATCCCCTCTCCTCAGGGAGGCTTGTATCTCGCCCTGTGCTATGATGCTGGCTCTGGTTTACATTGAACGTCTTCGCCATCGAAATCCCGAGTACCTCCAGCAGATCTCCTCCTCCGACCTCTTTCTCATCTCCATGGTGAGTGAAGTCTTTTTTCTCTTAACAGTATTCAGTGACCCTCAATTAGTCCTGTATCCAGTGGTTAGTGTGCCTGCCTTGCAAGCGAGAGGATCCGGGTTCGATTCCCAGGCAGGGCAAAACCTTAGGCAAGTTTCCTTACTCCACACGTCTCTGTTTACCCAGCAGGAAATAGGAACCCGGTTGTTAGTCGATTGGCTGATCGCTTTCAGTAGATAATCCCTACAAAAAATAATAATAATAATTTGGTCACTCAATCCAAGACTGTTTGTGAGACACTGCTGTGCGCAATTGGCTGCCAGGTTTCACCTACAAAGTACACAGTCCAATCCACTTTACAGTATATATTCTGTGAAGCCTTTTGTGACGCCTTGATGACGAGATAATAATAATGATCCTTACATTTGATATAGCGCCTTATCACGTAGTTGAGACGTCTCAAAGTGCTTCACAGAATATACTATAAAGTGAATTGACTATATTTTGTGGGTGAAATGGTAACCAAATGTGATATCAATATATCAAATGTGAGGATTATTATTATTATTATCTGACACTTTGCTTGTGCTGCAGATGGTGGCCAGTAAATACCTGTACGACGAGGGGGAGGAGGAGGAGGTGTTTAACGACGAATGGGGCGCAGCGGGAAAGCTGGACGTGCACTCGGTGAACACTCTGGAGATGAACTTTCTGAGGGCGATTGTAAGTCACATGAGACGTCTGCCCTGCTTTGTTCTCAGGCTTTACTCCAGTTCTTTTAAGGCTGTTTGTTCCAAAACGGAGTCACTATTTTGCACCAAATTAGATTTGTCAGCAGATTGGAATCTTTCCTTCTGTGACGTAGTGTTAGCACTCTCACTTCACAAACGAGAGATCTGGATTCAATTCCCGGGCAGGGCAAAACATTAGGCAAGTTTCCTTTCTCGACACACACGCCTCTGTTTACCAGTTGTTAGTCGATTGGCAGATCGCTGTCCAGGGGTAATATTCCCTTCCTCCAAAAAATATAGAATACATGATAAATTATAAAGTCAATTCTCTAATATATTCTGTTAAGTGCTTTGGAAAGTCTAAATGAAGAGCCTTTGTTTATTAACTTTAGTTAATTTAATTAAATAATCAAATGTTAATTAAAATTCTGTTCATTAGCTTTTTTTTCCCCTCTTAAACCTTTGCAGGACTGGAGCCTCTATGTCAATACTCAGGAATTCTTTGAGCTTCTGAACAGGATGGAGGGCAGGTGGGTACATGAGTGCTGAATAAGAAGGTCTTATCGGATCTTTGTCAGGATGAGTTCAGTCTGAGCTGACGCTCCAACACAGAACTGAGGAGGCCAGCATTGTTGCTTTACTTTGCATTTACTGTCAATTCCATACCGACCTGTCGACTCCCTCCGCTCAGCGAACTCTGGCCTGCTCCATATCCCCTGCCTGCTCCACCATCGGTGGTTTCTGCCCTTTGCCTTCCCTTTGGAACTCCATCCCACAGTCGCTCCGCCTTGCCCTCCCCCGTCTCCTTCAAGGCCCGTCTCAAGATCCTCTTCGACTGTGCCTTTTGGTCGCTCGCCAGCCCCTGCCCTCCTGATCCCAACCTCCCAGCTCGGGTCCAAATCCCTGACTGTCCAGCGCCTTGTGAAAGGCGCCGTGTAAATGTCATTTGTTATTTTACTTAGAGCAGTGCTGTCCTTTGGAGGAGATCTTAAACTTGAGCGGCGTGTCGACTGCCTGTTCAGGTGGACATTTAAGGTCCTTAATGATTGTTGGGTGCTGTGTGTGAACCCGCTGCCCTTGTGCCTTTTTAACCTTCTATTTCCAACCGTTTCAGGGTGGCCCAGTCTCAGGGGCTGAAGCGAGGCTGGTTCACATACACAGACCTGTGTGTGTTACTGGAACAGGCGCCCTGGCAACAAACCTTTGCACAGCTCTCCCAGCACATTATCCAGGTAGCACACTCGTACTCCTCGTTCGAGAGCCTGTCAAAACAGTTTACAGAACTTTCTACAAAATGTAGTGACTGTGTATTTTGTGGGCGATCATTGTAGCCATTTGTGCGCACAGCAAAGTCCCACGAACAGTCATGGAGTGAGCATCCAGATTTATCTAGGTCAGTAAGTCACCAGGGCAGTGATTGCAGTAAAACTCTTTGAAGAAGTGTTTCAATGTTCTAAGCAGTATAACAACAACTTGCAGCGCTCTTCACGCGGGGTAGGGTCCCGGAGCGCTTGACAGTAGTGGAGTCTGACCCCGAGCCAGGGGGAGAGAGAGGGGCAGGCGACCGTAAGCACGATCAAAAAGGAAGGTCTTTAGGCCACATTTGAAGGGAGTAGGGCAAGGCGGAGGGATTGAGGGAGAGAGTTCCAGAGTTTCAGGGTGTAGTGTAGTGGCTGAAAGCACGGCCACCGATGGAGGGGTCAGGGGACAAACAGGAGGCCGGAGCCAGCCGAGCGGAGACAGCACGTGGTGGAGTGGGAGAGTAAGCAGATTGGAGAGGTAGGGATGTGCGAGGGCGTGAGTGAGAGGATCTTGAAATCCAGTATAAAATAAAATGCTCCTCTACTATCTCTCTATCCCTGTGTGTGTGCCAGGTGGCCTGTATGCTGGGTGTCGTGTACCTGACGAGTGTGGCTGGAGTCATCGCCTGCAGCGCTGTCGTTCGCCAGGCCCTGTGTTCCAGAGACCAAAGCTGTGTCCTCGGCCGCGAGGCTAAGGGATTCCTCCCGAGGGAGGGAGTGATCCTGAACCCGGTGGGATGCTCACAAGCGTCCCCTTCTCTCCCGACGTCTCCGTTCGAAGATCCCGTAGCCGTGGCCGAGATTCCAGACTCCTCTTCCGACCTGCGCTGCTGCGTTTTGGAGAACAGCACCAGGAGGAAGAGCCCGGCCATCGCTGTGACCGCCCTGTGTATCTGGGGGACGGTCCTGACCTCCTTCAGCTACACCACGGACCCTCGCAACCAGCGCACGGAGCCAGGAATCCCACTCGAGTCCATTTCCTGCTCCAGCTGTCGGAAAACACACACAGCCTCTGGGCTGTCAGTGAAGTGCGGAGTGCACAACCAGACGTCCGTCAGTATCGCCTTCCGCCTCACCCCGCCCGGACTGCTCGCCTCGCTGAGTCCCCACGGCTCGCTCTCACTCTCACTCAACGCCGGGTGCACAAAGACCTGGGAGAACAGTGGGGCAGGGCTGCCCTCCATTCACAGCGTGGACAGATTGATGGACATGCTGTGCCAGCCTGGCTCGGTCAGGATGAGGAGGTGCCCCGTGGAAACGGGGTTAAACCAACTCCGGATGTCCATCTTACCCAGTTAGGGGCTCGCGGTCCGGTTCTGGACGGGCTTTTTGCTGGTGAACACGGTCAAGGATAAACGTTTCTGCCGGTGGGATTTGAATAAGGAATTCCATTTCCATCTTGCTGCCAATGGTCACCTTAACTTTACACCCCAGCCAAGCACAAGAGCAGCCATTGGCGGCTTGTGGGTACCACAGCAATCCACAATATCAGCTGTGGGTTACCGTGTGTGTGTGTGTGTGTGTGTTCACACGCATGTGTGCTCGGTAGCCAATTGACCACTGAATTACGGTGAGGTGTATTTTACAAAGTCTGAATGTTTTTCTGGTGGCTAGCTCCCCCCCCCCCCCCCCACTCATTTTCTACACCATCAATTGGACTTTGTGCCCCAATATATTTGTTCTAATAAACAAAAGGTTGGGGGCGGGGGGGGGGGGGGGCAGGTAAGTTGGTTTGAAAAGGGGAATTGGACTTAAAATGTAAGTGAATTCTACATTTCATTATAGCACGGAAGGAGGTCATTCGGCCCATCGTGCCTGTGCTGGCTCTATGAAACAGCTACCAACTAATCGTTCCCCCCGCACCCCCGCACCCCCACTTTTAAACCCGAAGCCCTGCAAATTATTCCTTTTTAAGTACCTAGCCAATTCCCTTTTGAAAGCTACTATCGAATCTGCTTCCACCACCATTTCTGAAATGCTGTGAAAACAACGTTGAGGGGAATTCTGGAATCTTTAGGAATTTGTACAGAGAAGTCAAAACCAAGTTACTAGAATAATTTTTTTTCTCCTTCCGACTGAATCTTTAGTGTCGGCTGTACTTAATCTACAGTTTTAAGATTTAGCTTTTGAGCGGCCAGAAGGCTGAACTTTTTGGGCCGTTCCTTGATTTCTTTCCCGCCCCCCGCCCCGCCCCATCCTGCAATTTTCCCATTGCCCTCTTCTGAAGGCTTTTAACTCTACTTTTTCCTTTAACGAGGGTACGTTCCAAACACGGTAGTCACCCCCTCCCCACATGCACACACGCTTGGGTGTTTTCGTACGTGAGCTTTGACAGTCAGTGTTGGCAAGCTTTGATCACAAGCCTCGCCCTAGTCCCACCCGACGCGCACATTTCCAGCACAGTCGCTGGATGCCAATCAGGAATCCAGCCCGACTCTCTTACGTTGGTTTTTCGCTATTGTTCAAACCACGTTGTTTATTTACAGCTTTCTCCTGGATCCCGAGAGTTTTATGTCTTGTCTCTTTCTGGGTGGCAATGGTGTCGAAAGTGCGGAATAGTTTTATCGCGCTTGGATTAGCTTAACTTTGTTTGAAAGCATAAAGGTGCCCTTAATTGTGTCATCCCTTTGGAACTCCATCTCACAGTCCCTTCGCCTCGCACCCCTCCCTCGCCTCCTTCAAAACCCGTCTCCAGGACCTCTTTGACCGCGCCTTCGGTCACCCTCCTACCCCCAGCCTCCCCGCCCTCCACCCCTTCTGATCCCAACCCCCAGCTCGGGTCCAAATCCCTGACTGCCCAGCGCCTTGGGGAGTCCTCCCGAAGTGAAAGGCGCTGTCGTCGAGATGTAAATGCAGTTTGTTGTTAATTAACTAATGAAAGTGATTACAGGTTATTCTGTAAGGTTCATTGTTGAGTTGGATACATAATCAAAGGCATCTGTATGTGTGTGGGCTCTTAGCCCAACTTGCATTTTAGACCCTAATATTTGAAAGTATGACTGTGGAAGGAACGGGATTTAAGTCTTTCCAGTACAATGATGTGACCAGCACCTGAGACATTCCAACCAGCTTGTGACGATGCTATCTGTCAAATCAGATCTGCTGATCAGCAGAACTACTTGTTACACAATGTGCAGATAAGACTTGGAAGAGACAACGGTCACGTGGGTTGTTATTGCTGAACTCAATTCAGTAAAATCAGTCCATCAACAACTTGTATTTATATATAACATCCTTCACATGGACTAAGGTCTCAGAGCTATATTATATCATATACTATATTGTATCCTGTGAAGCGATTTGAGACGTCTCGACGACTTGATAAGGTGCTGTACCAAAGGCAAGGATTATTGTTATACAGCACTTCACAGTGACAGGGTCGGATATTGAGCAGATATTGAAGGGGAAGGTGATCGTAGGTGCAGTCAGAGAGGTGGGTTTTAAGGCAGGACAGAGGGGGGAGATGGAGGGATGAAGGAGGGACTTTCAGAGGTTTGTGGGGTAGAATCTGAAATCTCGGCCACTGTTGGTGCCAAGGCTAGGAGACACGAGTTAGCTGAGTGGAGGGGCAAACAGGAGTGGGTGAGAGGAGATCAGAGAGATGGGTGGGGGTGGGGTCTGGCTCAGATTGAGGGAGAGATAGATAGTCACTTGGGGAGTAAAATTGTTAATGAATATAGTGGGGAGGTGGGGTTAGCGGAGGTTATAGTATGTGGTCTTTGACGGAACGGGCTTGGTGGGCCGAATGGACTTCTGTTTCTGATGTCTCGCGTTCGGTGTCACCAATAAGTGCGAGAGTTAGTTTTGATCGGCCAGAGATCTGACGCATTTGGAACCATGTTTTAAGGAGCCGTTGGATAACAATTCTGTTCAGTGCTGAAGTTGCAGGAAAACCTCATCACACTGCGCGTAACACGGACCATATTTCTTCTCCAAAGAATCTACCAGGGCACTGGTTACATTATACTACCCATTCCCCGGGCAATGTTATTTTTATTGGCCGTTGTATGTGTTGTCAGTGCCTCCCGGCCATTGGAGGTATCTGGTGGCATCGAGGTCCAGTCCCTATGGAGAGGAGATGTTGCAGGAAGCTTTTTGATGGACAGAGAGACCAAACCAGTGTCACCTATCCAATCTCTGGGAGATTTTGGCTTGGAAAATGAAGCCTCTGCTGCAAATCACAAGGAGGGGGAGGCTTTAAACCTACGGGAGGGGAAAGATATAACCGGTAGTGAAGCCGGTAGTGAAGCCAGGTTATATCTAACTTAAGTGGGCACGTGATTCTCCGCACCCCCTCCTTCGGTCCTTGGCGTTGATGCCATTGCATAAATGCAACCGAAATCTCCAGCGAACCGGTTCCTTCCTCGGTGCGCGCGTGCGTGCGTGTGCGCGTGTGCGCGTGTCGGGGTTATTGCAAAGCACGACAGTAAACCTCACGTAAGTCCTGATCTCGTGTTAAATCGTATAATCTCCTGAACCCGGTTCGAGTTTACGTTCGACGCGAGTTTGATATCGCTCACGTTTTTGCGTCGAGTCACATTAAATGTTAGAAAACGAATTGGTGGGGTCACTTTGCCGGACGTTATGACGCCTCCAAATAAATAATAATAATCTGGTTTGTGGGGGGGAACGCTGCTGTGCGCAATTGGCCGCCGCGTTTCACCCGCCGCCACTACACCTTTAGCGTATAGCCTGCGCTGCGCTTTGAGACGTCTCAATGACGTGATAAGGCCCCGTATGAACTGCAAGGATTATTATTATTATTATTATTATTATTATTATAAACGAAGGGTCCCAACCGAAACGACGTACGTGAGGTTCACTGCAGACGTTGGGGGGTTTTTGCCCGGAGCGGGTGACGGGACACCAGATCCACGTGCGGACACGGAGAATTATTCTGCGTTAACGGAAAAAGGTGACGTTGCACATTCCCGGTTGTTCTCCCGTCTTTTTTTTCCCGGTGGGTTTTAGGGAGCAATCTTTTCGGGGATGTCGGTGTGATTTTTTTTTTTTTGGGGTGGGGGGGGAGGGGGGGTGGGGGGTCGTAAGCACTTTTGAGCCCACGGTTGAGCGCCGAACTCCAGGGACGTCAACTGCAATAAATGCAATGTTAAGGGGCAAAGGCTTTTAATTAAAAAATAAGAGAGAGATTAATTGATATAAGATTCGTAGTGTTTTTTTTTCCGCGGGCTGGGGGTGGGGGGGGGCACGGACGCGCTGTGAGGGGGGGGCACGGACGCGCTGTGGGGGGGCACGGACGCGCTGTGGGGGGGGGCACGGACGCGCTGTGGGGGGCACGGACGCGCTGTGGGGGGTGGGGCACGGACGCGCTGTGGGGGGTGGGGCACGGACGCGCTGTGTGTGGGGGGGCACGGACGCGCTGTGGGGGGTGGGGCACGGACGCGCTGTGGGGGGTGGGGCACGGACGCGCTGTGGGGGGGGGCACGGACGCGCTGTGTGGGGTGGGGCACGGACGCGCTGTGGGGGGGGGGCACGGACGCGCTGTGGGGGGTGGGGCACGGACGCGCTGTGGGGGGGGCACGGACGCGCTGTGTGTGGGGGGCACGGACGCGCTGTGGGGGGGCACGGACGCGCTGTGGGGGGGGCACGGACGCGCTGTGGGGGTGGGGCACGGACGCGCTGTGGGGGGGGGGCACGGACGCGCTGTGGGGGGGGTGGGGCACGGACGCGCTGTGGGGGGGGGCATGGACGCGCTGTGGGGGGGCACGGACGCGCTGTGGGGGGGGGGCACGGACGCGCTGTGTGGGGGTGGGGCACGGACGCGCTGTGTGGGGGTGGGGCACGGACGCGCTGTGGGGGGGGCACGGACGCGCTGTGGGGGGGTGGGGCACGGACGCGCTGTGTGGGGGGGGCACGGACGCGCTGTGGGGGGTGGGGCACGGACGCGCTGTGGGGGGGGTGGGGCACGGACGCGCTGTGGGGGGGGTGGGGCACGGACGCGCTGTGGGGGGGGGGGGCACGGACGCGCTGTGGGGGGGTGGGGCACGGACGCGCTGTGGGGGGGGGGGCACGGACGCGCTGGGGGGGGGGGTGGGGGGGTGTTGGGGGTGGGCGGCGCGCGCTTGAGGCTGAGGGAGCGCGCACGTCGGTGGGTGGGTGTGGTGGGGGCGGGAGCGCGCACGTCGGTGGGTGTGGTGGAGGCGGGAGCGCGCACGTCGGTCGGTGGGTGTGGGGTGGTGGGGCGGGAGCGCGCACGTCGCACGTCGCGGGGGGGGGCGCGCTCGGGAGGCACGCAGTTGCGCGGTTGCCAGGGCGGGAGGGGGAGGGGGAGAGGGAGAGGGGGCGGTTGTGAGGGCTATTTTTCACACACACACAGACACACAGCGGATGAGGGGAGAGAGGGAGAGAGAGAGAGAGAGAGAGAAGGGATTAACAGAGGAGAGAGAGAGAGAGAGGCCCCTCTCCCCCCCCATCCCCACCCACCACCCCCACCCACCGCGCCCAAACACAGGGCCCCTCCCGGTAAGTGAGGCGTCCACACTGCACCTCAGCCTCTCACACCCTCTCTGTCTGTCTCTTCCTCTCTCTGTCTCTCTGTCTCTGTCTGTCTCTGTCTCTCTCTCTCTGTCTCTCTCTCTCTGTCTCTCTGTCTGTCTCTCTCTCTGTCTGTCTGTCTCTCTGTGTCTCTCTCTCTCTGTCTGTCTGTCTCTCTGTCTCTGTCTCTCTCTGTCTCTCTCTCTCTGTCTGTCTCTCTGTCTCTGTCTCTCTCTGTCTCTCTCTCTCTGTCTGTCTCTCTCTGTCTCTCTGTCTGTCTGTCTGTCTCTCTGTCTCTGTCTCTCTCTGTCTCTCTCTCTCTGTCTGTCTCTCTGTCTCTGTCTCTCTCTGTCTCTCTCTCTCTGTCTGTCTCTCTCTGTCTCTCTGTCTGTCTGTCTCTCTCTCTGTCTCTGTCTCTCTCTGTCTCTCTCTCTCTGTCTGTCTCTCTCTGTCTCTCTGTCTGTCTCTCTCTCTCTCTGTCTGTCTGTATCTCTCTGTCTCTGTCTGTCTGTCTCTCTGTCTGTGTCTGTCTGTCTCTCTCTGTCTGTCTGTGTGTCTGTCTCTCTGTCTGTCTGTGTGTCTGTCTCTCTGTCTGTCTGTGTGTCTGTCTCTCTGTCTGTCTGTGTGTCTGTCTCTCTGTCTGTCTGTGTGTCTGTCTCTCTCTGTCTGTCTGTGTGTCTGTCTGTCTGGGGGCAGCAGGTGGTGGGGGTGGCCCTGTGTGTCCAGCCAGACATTATAATCCTCTATAGCCCCCAAAACTGGTTCCGAAAGTAACCCCCAAATCTCCAAACACTCGCCCCAAGAATACTAATAATACTCACATCTGATACAGCGCCTTATCACGTCTTCCAGACATCTCAAAGCGCTTCGCCGGATATACTATAAAGTGTAGTGACTGTGTGTTTTGTGGGTGAAAGGCGGCAGCCAATGTTTGTGTTTGTTCCCCCACAAACAGCCGCGCGGAGATCGAGTGGCCGTTTTATTACTAATCGTGTGGTTTTTTTTTTTGAAGGGGATTATTACCCGCGGAAAAGCGAGCAGCCAATTGACGTGACGAACAACCGGGTTCCTACTGACCGCTGGTAAACCGGGGCGGGTGGGCGTGAGGCAACTTGGCTAAGGTTTCGCCCCGACCCGCCCGGGAATCGAACCCGGGTCCTCTGGCCTTGCGAGGTGAGTGCGCTACCCGCCGCGCTGCGGGACTCCCCGGCTTTAGCCGGTTACACGTCAGGTGGGGTGGGTGCGGTTGGCTCCTAAACTCTCCAGGATTAGTCAAGGCAGGGCGCGCCGTCCTGTTCTAAGAGAGGGGAAAGAGTTCACGCCCCCCCCCCCATCAAAACTAAACAAACAGAAGTTTCCATACGCTGTACACGTGGGCAGTTCCTCTTAAACATGGCGGGGGCTTTCTCCGTGTGTGTAAGGCACTCGGCTAACCAAACCACGGCACAGTCCACCTTACGTTGCCCAGGACCTAATGTGATGGTAAATATCAGTGACTGACTGTCAGGACAAAGTCCCGGATTAAATATACAGTATAGAGAGAAGGCAGGAAATAATTTTGTAAGACCTCTTTTGATCTGCTAAACTGTTGGAAGCTTATGGGTGGAAATAACTCCCTTATTCCTTTTTTTTTTGTCTTACAACAACAACACGTGACATTTGCACAGAGCCTGACGTTCGCGTCAGGAGGACGTCCCAAGGCGCTGGACAGCCGGGGATTTGGACCCGAGCTGGGGGTTGGGATCGGGAGGGGGTGGAGGTCGGGGGACGGTGGGGGTGGGAGGGTGACCGAAGGCGCGGTCGAAGAGGAGGGACTTGAGACGGGCCTTTGAAGGAGGCAAAGGAGGGAGCGAGGTGAAGGGACCGTGGGATGGAGTTCCAGAGGGTGGAGGGTATTTTACTCTACGCTTTTCCTCCCTCGTGTTCTTTCATTGTTGAAAAGAGAGGATGAGATATTACATGGGAGAGAGGTGCTGTTCAGGCTCGTAGGACTAATCACTCTTTTGAGCAAGATGCTGGAGAAAAGAGCGACTTGTGCCCGTGGAAAGGGACTCCAGTTAAAAACAGAAAGCGAGTTGACGATACAAAGAGGAAAAAGATTGCACTGGGGAGGGAGAGAGGGGGGTTGGAGGCTAGAGAATACAGAGTGAAACCTGAGGCAAGTACCCTTACTCCACACGCCTCTGTTTCGCAGTGAGTGGGATCCCAGTTGTTAGTCGATTGGCGGATCGCTTTTTCTGTCCGCAATTGGCTGCCGCGTTTCGCCCCCAAATTATACAATCAACTCACTTTGCAGTACGTTCTGCGAAGCGTTTTGAGACGTCTCGAAGACGTGCTGAAGTGCTATCGAATGAAGGATCATTATTGTTGTAATTGCATGTCCTGTGCCCGCCTAAATGATCCTTCGTTCAGCTGCAGCTGGAATGTTCTGTCCCACTCTGCTTGTTCTGCTTTAGGAAAGATGTCAAAGCTTTGGCAATTCACTTAAGATGATAACGGGATAGAAGAGGCTTCAGTTATGAAGGACAAACAGACTGAGAGTAGCCCTCTTCTGAAAGAGGTGTTTAACATTCTGATGAGTGAAACAGGAGAAATTACTTCCATTGATAAGTGAGATAGTAACTGGATTAGATTACCAACCTAAACGTGTCTAAGGTTTCGCCCAGCCAGGGAATTGGACTCAGATCCTCTCGCTTGCAAGGCTGGGGCGTTAACCACTACGCAATAAGAGGTAAAAGTGGAAAGAAGCGAGTGTAATTGGGCAGCGTTTTCAGAGAGAGAGAGAGCGCTCAGCGCGGATACCATAGACCGATTGTCGTTTCACTGTGCTGAGGAGTCTATGATTTTAAATTAGCTGAGAATTCAAAGTTTTTTTTTAGGCCTTTGACTTAAAACTGTCGGAAACCCGCGGCAAGTTTCCTTGCTCTACGCACCTCTATTTAAGGAGGAACCCGCTTTTTAGTCGATCGGGAGATCGGTTTTTGGGGATATTAATCCCTAAGAAAAACAAAACATAACAATAATGATTTGGTCACTCAATCCACGACTGTTTGTGGGACGCAGCTGTCCGCAATTGCCTGCCTCATTTGGCCCACAAAATCCGCAGTCACTGCACTTCACGGTGTATCCCGTGAAGCGCTTTGAGGCGTGTTAACGACGGGATAAGGCGCTGTATCAAACACAAGGATTATTATTATTATTAAGAAGCCGTGAGATACGATTTGTCCTCCCGATTGCTACTGACCATACATTGTGAGCGGTGAAGTTGAGAGGGAAAGCTTTGGTCCCAGTGGTGTCCCGCGGAGCTCCTTCACAGGTTTTTTTTTCCAGCTCCACGTGTTGGGTAGATCACAAACGCGCTCTAAATCTGGATTGTTGATGTGCGGTGGTTCCAGTGATGTCACAGTAACCCGTTCTCTTTCTCTAACGTGCTTCCTGTTCTCCCTTCTGATGCTCGTGGTATGTAAGTAGGCTTCGTGGCACTGGTGCCAACCCGTTTGTGTGGGATACTGTGGGTCCTGTTAACCTGGCACCACGTTAAACTTGATTTGTTTGACTTCTCCAGTGCCCTCCTCACTGGCCTCCTCCGCCACACCATCCACAAACTCCAGCTTATCACCCCTTCCCTCGCCTCCTTCAAGGCCCATCTCAAGACCCTCCTTTTCGACCGCACCTTCCGTCACCTTCCTACCCCCCTCCTCCCGCCCCACGTCCCTACACTCCCTCCACCCCCTCCCGATCCCAACCTCCAGCTCAGGTCCAAATCCCTGACTGTCCAACGCTTTGGGACGTCCTCCCGACATGAAAGGCGCCGTGTAAAATGTAACGTGTTGTTATCCAAAGTCCGACTGCTCATATCCTTACTCCTGCAAGTGCGCGGTGGGATATATTTCCAAGAGGGGTTTGAAGGTGGAGCAAGAAGGTGCAAGGCAAAATGTTTTGGGGGAGGTTGCAGACAGGAAAGGGCATCAGTGGCTGAAAGCTTCGCCATCATTTATAGGATGGAGAGGGAGAGCGCGAGAGTCGAGTAGTGCTGACTCGTACTCTTGTTTGGACATCTGGTAAAGAATGAGTGATGTGGTTCTTGCTGCCTGTTTGGGACACTGTGTACTTGTGCTCAGACCCATGAGTTGGCCATTTGCCCGAATGGCGTTTGGAGAGCAGCTGGCACCTGTAGAGCTAAACCCGAGTCTACCTCAGGGCCTTCGGGCTTTAACCTTTTCTGTTGTCTACGTATTTTGGATTTTCCGCTCTTTTCAAAGATGTTGTGTGACTAAGATAAAGAGACGAGCGATGCCGGGGGAGTGCAATCTTGTTGAAGCCAGCACGCTTTCTGTTCCTGAAATTGGCTGCCCCGTTTTGCTCACAAAATACACAGTCACTCCGCTCTACAGTGTGTCCTGTGAACGGCTTTGAGACATCTCACTGATGTGATATCAAATGCAAGGATTATTATCAAGATAGCAACCACTGGGTTAAATGGGTTAGGTGTGAGAATGTTGGCAGGCCAGTAACTGAGGGTGGAGGGTTTATTTTGAACCAGATCAATTGGCTTCTTCCTGTTTATCTACCGCCGATGGCAGGTTATAAATATGACTGGATGTGTGTCTGAGGATGTAGAACTACAGGTATAGCATATATTGGACCGTCTTGATAAACTGCATCTGTATAAGTGTCGCGGCTCCAGGGAGTAGAGTTACCAGAGAGATCATATTAATGGGACCAGTTTAATTTTATCGTTTCTCAGCGTATATATAGTAGCATGAGGGGAGATGTCTCCTTGCTGGTGTGTGAGCAATTCTGTTAGATAGTGGTACGAGCTCCTATTTTGCTTTCACACTTAACAGGTGGAGTCCTGTAGCGTTTGTGGGACGCTGCTGTGCGCAGTCGGCTGCCGCATTTCGCCCACAAAATATACACTCAATACACTTAACAGTATAATCCCGTGAAGCGTTTTGAAGACATGATAAGTTGCTGTATTAAACACAAGGTATATTATAAAGGGGGAAAAAAAATCATGTTGAGCAATCGGGTATGAATTAATCTTTTATGTTTAGTCATTTTACAAAAACTACTTGTGTTCTTTGTTCTGTTTGGCTTTTGGTTGTGTGAAAGATGAAATGGCTTCTGTGATGGGCGGTTACAGCATCACAGAACTGAAGGTAGAAAATGATCTGTCAGCCTGGATTCTGTTTTCTATTGTGTCAGATACGGAGGATTCAGTACTGTGGTGTGTGATTCCTCAATAGAAATGCTTTCAAAAGATTTCAAAGCCCTCCACAGCTTTGCTCCTCCCTACCTCTGTGACCTGCTAGCTCCACACCGATCTGTCCGCTCCCTCCGCTCAGCGGGCTCCGGCCTGCTCCGTGTCCCCCACATCGGCGGTCGAGCCTTCAGCCTCTCTGCCCCCACCCTCTGGAACTCCCATTGGGACAAGACATGTACTTGAGACGGCCAGGATGGTGGTGGTCATACTGGATGGACTTTGGTTTTCTTTTGCTCCCTCGGCTCAGCGGGCTCCGGCCTGCTTCATGTCCCCTGTCTCGCTCGCCCCATCATTGGCGGGCAGGACTGACTTCAGCCTCTCTGCCCCAACCCTCTGCCACTCCATCCCACAGTCCCTCCTCCGAACCCCCACCCTCGCCTCCTTCAAGACCCGTCTCAAGACCCTCCTTTGACCGCACCTTCGGTCACTCTCCTACCCCCTACCCTCCCCGCCCTCCACCCCCTCCTGATCCCAATCCCCAGCTCGGGTCCAGATCCCTGACTGTCCAGCGCCTCGGGACGTCCTCCTGACATGACAGGCTCCGTGTAACTGCCATTTGTTCTTGTTGTAAGTTATTAAATGGCTGTTCTGCGGTTGCTAATGTGTCAAACTAATCGTGTGGTAATCTAAGACCCTTTGTGCCAAACACATTTTTAAAAATCTGCTTTCAGGTGAAAAAAGTGAAAATTCTGGTCCGTTTACTCAGTAACTAACGGGGGAAAATGTTTATCAGCTTGTTTGAGGTTCTATTTCAGCTGTACAGAGTTCCTGCTTGATCAGCATAGCGAGGGGTTTAGAAACACAAAGTATTTTCGTAGCTTGCATTTTTCCACGGCTGGTGGATGTGCCGCTGTGCAATTCTTTTTGTTGCATGAAATTTGCAAACCCCCAAGTCGAGCTCCTTTCACTAACACAACTCTCGGATCATCTCTCTTGTTGTTTGGGGTGATCGGCAGCTGATCAGGATCGTCCCCGGGCAGGGTGAAACCTTGGGCAAGTTTCCTTACTCCACACGCCTCTGTTTACTGAGCAGGAAATGGGAAGTCGATTGGTGGATCGCTTTCCAGGGGTAATAATCCCTTACCACAAAAGAGATAAAGAAATTGGTCACTCAATCCACGGCTGTCTGTGGGACGCTGCTGTGCGCAATTGGTTGCCACGATCGCCCATGAAATACAGTCAGTTCACTTGTGAAGCGCTTTCAGATGTCTCACCGACATGATAAGGCGCTATATCAAATGCAAGGATGATTTTTATTACGGTTGATATTGAGCTAGTACTCAAGAACTCCGGGACACTACCTCATGTGAGGGTGCTGTATAAATGCAAGTTGTTGTGTTGTAGTAGTACAGGCACTTAAATAGGTGCTCTTCGCTCTATAACAGTCCAGGTACAGTTTACAGTAAAAGTCTTCGTTATGGGTTAAAATCTCCCATTGCTTTCTGCTTTCTTATTTAGTTTGTGACCTTTAGCTTGTGATGGAGTGGAGCGTATTTTGGGCAGGTTAACCTTTCGCTGTTGTGGCCAGCTAACATTTAGCATTTGACATTGGAGCGGTCTGTGGCTTGCACTTAGCTGACGAGACATCCGCAGGTAACGCCACACGGCAGGGGGATTAAAGGGTTTGATGTCGAATGAGTTAGCAATCTGTGCCCGTCAGAAAAGGGGAGCAGTTGATGTTTTTCTTTGAACCCAAGCCTAGCCTGTGATCTGATAAACTTTGGTAACTCATCTTTCTCTCTCAGCTATGGATTTGCCTTATAATAATTAGAATAATCCTTGCATTTGATATAGCGTCTTATCATGTCGTTGAGAAACCTTAGGCAAGTTTCCTTACTCCACACACACACACGCGCGCGCGCACACACCTCTGTTTACCAGCAGAAAGTAGGAACCCGGTTGTTCGTTGATTGGTGGATCCCTTTCCGGGCGGTAATAATCCTTCAAAAAAAAAATCGGTCACTCAGTCCACGACTGTTTGTGGGACACAATGTTTCGTCCACAAAATACACAGTCACTCCACTTTACGGTATATTGTGTGAAGCGCTTTGAGACGTCCGAACAACGACAACGACAAATTACATTTGTTGAGCGCCTTTCATGTCAGGAGGACTTCCCAAGGCAGGGATTTGGACATGATAAGGCGCTATATTTTTATTAAAAATAGCATAAAGCGATAACTTGAAGAGTTTTTCTCTCCCTCCCCTCCCCCCCACTCCTCCAGGTGGAGTCCTGTAGCTCAGTGGTCAGAGCACTCGCTTCGCAAGCGAGACACCCGGGTTCAATTCCAGGCAGAGGGCGAACCTTGGGCAAGTTTCCTTACTCCACACAGAGCCTAATAATAATCCCTCCAAAACCAAAAACAATTGGCTGCCGCGTTCGCCCACAAATATACAGTGAATTCACTTTACAGTCTACCCTGTGAAGTGCTTTGAGACGTCGAGAAGACGTGAAAAGCGCTATATCAAATGCAAGGATTATTATTATTTAATCTAATTACATTTGCATGTAAGGCAATAAGATTTGGAAATGGATGCTTTGGCTGACTGAACGCAAATGAGGACTGAAGCAGATGGCATGACTTGCTCCATCCCATTTTTCTTTGTTGGTGGTTTGCTTGACTTGCATTTTGTTTGTTATTTGCCTTTCCCAGAGCTAAAAGTTGCTGCTGCTGTTGCTCTACCAGTTTTATCGCTCATTTTGTGGGCGAAACCTTTGGCACCTTTCCTTTCTACATACACACACCTCTGTTTACCTATCAATAAGTAGGAACCTGCTTGTTAGTCGATTGGTGGATCGCATTTCCGGGAGTAATAATCCATTATTATCCATATTATTCATAGTAATAATAATTATTATTTGGTCACTCAAACCATGAGTGTTTGTGGGACATTGCTGTATTTTCTGTGAAATGCTTTGAGACGTCTCGAAGACATGATATGGCGCTATATCAAATGGATTATTATTATTACCAGTGAGACTTTAATTTTATGTGAAAAGTCTTGTGTGCCTGAACAGGTGGGTATCAAAGATCTCATGAAACTATCTGGAATAAAGTAAGTGTTACAGTCTGGAACTCGCTGCCTGAAAGGGTTGGTGGAAGCAGATTCAGTAATAACTTTCAAAAGGGAATTGGATAGATACTTGAAAAGAAAAAAAGTTACAAGACTATGGGGTAAGAGCGGTGTGGGAGTGGGACTATTAGGATAGCTCTTTCAAAGAGCTGGCACAGTCACAATACAATACAATATAAAATTACATTTGTATAGTGCTTTCACGTCAGGAGGACATCCCAAGGCGCTGGGCCTAATGGCCTTCAGTGCTGCAATATTCTATAATTTTATTAACTGTTTATCGTGTACTAAAACCATGGCTTTTTTTTTCCCCCAAAATGTTGCTTCTCAGGTTCAGGGAGAATGTCATTTCCTGCCCTCCGACCCGTTGCTGTTTGTGTGTTGACTTTGCGTCCATTTTTATTGTGAAATAAGATGGCAACTCATGGCCTCTCCCAGGCCTGAGGAGTGTTCCACAGAACCCAGCGTCAAGCAGCACTACAAAGCCTGCAGCCTGCCCACCACCTCCAAACCCCTCCATTACCAGCCGCAGGAGACCAGGCCTGGGTACTCGGTCACTCAGCACCCACTGTGGGAGTGGGACAGCTATAATGTGATCGTGCCCGTCCGTAAACAGTACACCTGCTCAGGGACAACACAGTATGTCGCTTGCCACCCCAACTTCTCTCTGCCTGGGAACAGCGGCAGGACGTTAACACAGAGCGCCCACAATGGCTTCCATTCCAATGTTCTGATCAGCCCCTTCGAGAAAGCCACCTTCTACGACCGCGCGGGCTATGGCTGCAGATCCTACCAGAGGCTGGAGTCCCTCAGCTCGCGATTCGGGAGCCTAGGCAGGAGAACCAGCTCGCCCCCCTCAGGTTACACCGGGGCCTCTGCCCACTCCTTCCCCTCCCGGGCGCTGTCTTGTGAAAACCTGATGAAGCCCGATGGGGGGGTCACTTCCTTCTCCCAGCACTTTGGCCCGACAGGCTCGCGCAACGAGTTCCTGCTCCTGGGCAAGAACAGTTCCACGCTCCCCAACAAGCCTACCTCACTGACCCGCAGGCCCGCGCTGAACACCAATGCGTTCATGAGACCCACCAGCGCCAAAGTGCCTTTGCACGGGAAGTGGGACGTCAAGACCACCGCAGCCAACGGCAGCAGCAATGAGAACGGCGAACCGGACAGCCCCGGGAGATACATAGTGGGCAGCCCTCGCAACCCGTCAGGATCCGCTGTGTACAACAGCACGGCCCTGAAGATCGAGAGGGCCCTGTTTCAGAACGAACACTCTGCGGGCAACCTGAAGAGCGCCATCAAGCTGAAGACCAACGGGGGAGGGGGGCCGGAGATCAAGTTCACGGAAGCGATCAGGAAACTATCGGACTACCGCCTCCAGAAGAACTCCGCCCACGAGCGATGCGTGACCTTCTCGAAGGGCACGGAGAACGTCTCCTCCCAGAACGCCTACTTCCAGACGATCTCGCTGGGCGCCGCGGGCAAGATGAAGCGGGCACTGCCCAACTTCTTCCAGGAGAAAGCCAGCTCCCCGTTCATCTCCAAGCCGGAGAAGATCTTCCCCGGCGGTAACCTGGAGCACCTCGCGAAGGAGATCAAGGAGAGCAGCATCGGGGACAGCAGCCAAAGCCGTCTCAGTATCTTGGCCTCCACCTTGCACGTGAGCAGCAACAGTCGCCCCGGTTACATGGAAAGGACCTGCCCGCTTCAGCGCCTGGACCAAACCAAAAAACTCATCCCCGTCTCGTCCCCAAAGACCAACGTGGCTTCGATCACGCTGCAGATAGCTGCCATGCAGCTCAAGTGTGCCAAGAGGAACGAAAAGCAGATCGAGAAGCCCAAGTGTAATGCAGATCTTCCAGAATCAGAGTAAGCCGTGTGGGCGTCAGTGCGTGTCAGTGCGTCAGCCTTGCCGCAGAGTCAGGAGGTTGTGGGTTCAAGCCCCCACGTCAGGACCTACACTCACATATTCCAAGCTGACGCTCCAATGCAGCAGTGGGCTGGTGGGGGGTGTGGGCGTTATATTGTCGCAGACGCCGTCCTTAGGATGAGACGTTAAAACGAGCTCCCGCCTGCCTGGTCAGGTAGACGTTCATGTTCCCGCGACGCTATGCTAAAAGAGAAGGGAGTTTCTCTCTGTCTCCCGGTGTCCTGGCCAACAATCTTCCCCCCCCCCCCACCCAAAATAAAAACATTCCAGGACTGTTTGTGGGGACACTGCTGTGGCAATTGGCTGCCACGTTCCCCCCACAAAATGCACAGTCACTCTACAGTGGAATCCTGTGAAGCGCTTTGAGACGTCACAACGACGTGTTAAGGCGCTGTATCGAACACACGGATTGTTGTTGTTGTTATTAATATTATTGTGGATGGTCACAGATTTTTTTAGTGATTGCGTCTCCTCCTTCACAGCGCTGAGGTCAACGACACAGAGGAAGAGCTGGCAGACGGACTGGAGGGCAGCAGCGGCCAGGAATGCGATGGTAAATACAAACCGGAACGAACGCCTACGATTATCCAATTGCTCTTCCCTGCCCCGGGGCCACATATGGGGCACGTTAGTGATGGCAATTGTATCGCTGTTTGTTGCAGCAATTGGCACACAGTTGAACACTGGAACAATAGCACTTAAACCAAACAGCTTGCGGACATCTTCACACAGGTTAGGCACAGGACATTGCTCCAAACCTCGGCCTTAAAGTGAGCTCCGTGTACCCTTCTACCTCACTATTCCCAGAACGCCAGTTGCCCTCACTGGCCTTTATCCCACAAGGTACACAGTCGCTACACTTTGCAGTATACTCTGTGAAGCGCTTTGAGACGTCTCAAGACCCTCCTACCCCTGCCCTCCACTCCCTCCTGATCCCAACCACCAGCGCCTTGGGACGTCCTCCCGAGGTGAAAGGCGCCGTGTGAATGTCATTTGCTGTTGCTGTCTCAACGATGTGATGAGGCGCTACATCAAATGCAAGGATTATTATTGTTGTTATTGATTCTCAGGGTAAAACATGGTAACCAGAGGTACATCATTTATTACCCAATGTGAAAGGTGTTACGTAGACGCAACTTGCGTACGATCCTTTCTTCCATTGTATAATGTTATGGATTCTGTGACTGTTCAGCGAGGCGTAGCTCCCTGGAGCTCACATCCACAACCTCTTTCTTTTCAGATGATTCGGACAGTTCCTCTGCCACAGATAGTTCCACTGCATCAGTGGGTGCTTTAGCCAAGTCTCAGCTTCACACACGATCACCTGAGTTGGCGGAGGATGGGTAAAGTCACCAAGTCACAGTTGCTGCTTTGCTTGACAGAGGCTCTGCTGAAATGAACAGATTTTAATGTCCCAGAGTTAACTTAACTTATAGGGATGAAGTCCTTCAGTTGATAAATAAGGCAGCATTGATAATGTGCGCTAGAGGACGTATTGCCAGCATTGATCCTCGTCCTCACCTTCAACGCCCTCGACAGTATTGCTCCTCCCTGCCACTGACCTACTAACTGCATACCGACCTGTCCACGCTCTCTGCTCAGCGGGATCCGTGCCACCCCCCACCCCCCCCCCATTCACTCCATCCCATCATCACCGGTCAGGCCTTCAGCCTCTCTGCCCCCACCCTCTGGAACTCCATCCCACAGTCCCTTCACCTCGCTCCCTCCATTTCCTCCTTCAAGGCCTGTCTCAAGATCCTCCTATTCGACTGTACCTTGGGTCATCCCCCTACTCTCCCCGCCTTCCACCCCTCCTGATCCCAACCACCATCTCGGCATTAAACCGTCGACTGTCCAGGGCCTTAGGACATCCTTCCGATGTGAAGGGCGCTGTGTAGCTGTAATTTGTTGATGATGTTGGTAGTATGAGGGACTACTCCTTTCTAAATTCTTCCCATCTCGTACATATTAGAGCCTAATAAACCTCATTTGGTTCTTCCTGTTTCTAGGAGTGCTTCAGATGCCCGTTTACAGGTTTTGGAGAATAAGGTTCAGATTGTCAGGCCAGCGTTGGTGCCAAGCTTGTTTGCCAATATGCCTCTGACTGTTTACTTTGGCACCACAAATGAGAAAAGTAAGGGAATTGAAGTTTGTGTGTGAGCGTGCGCGCGCGTGTGAGAGTGTGTGTTTCTTTTCTGTGTTAGGAAAGGACAAGAAGATGCATATAATTCGTTGAACACTTGTGGAGTGTGTGCAGTGATCTCTGCTGCTCTTATTTCACAGTTGAGCTATTACCATGGGAGCAAAAAAAGCTGCTAAAATGGAAGATGTCCACCGTCACGCCGATTGTTGTGAGGAATGCCATCGCCCGATCCCACTTCAGAACCACAAGAAGTATGTCCTTTTCTCCTGATTACCCTTGTTCCACAACAAGGGGGGTGTGGGGGGCGACATCTTATAATCAGAGCCAGGCCATATAGGAGTGAAATCAGGAGGCAATTTTTCACACAAAGGACCTCTCTCTCTCGCTCTCTTGTGTCTCATGTAGTGTAAGATCATGTCCAACATTCTTAGCCGAGTGGGGTGGGGGGAAAAAGAAATTCAATTCAACTTCATGTATTTCAGAAAATCATGATTGGCTGGGCTGCTGGGGCCACCATATGAAATCCCCAGCGTTTAAGACCCTCCGAGAATATCAAAAGGTAAGGAATCTTACTTAATTTTTTTTAAAACAAAATCATTCAAATGTTATTTCTCTTCTCGCCCCAGATTAACTTTCAGATATTTAGTGGGAAGAAAGATAACAGATCCATCGCCAAGGTTATGCTTCATCCATTGTACTCTCAGCACTGAGGATACACTAACTACAGACCAAAAAGAGTTGTGTCCCGTTCAATGTCTGTCAAGCTTTCTCACTGCTTGGACCACCCTACCCGTTAGGGCTTTGGTTGGAGCTGAGTGGGATGACTGGTGTCTGTGCTGGCTCTTTGAGTTCAACTGGTCCCACTCCCCCTTCTCTTACCCCATAGCCCTGCACATTGTTCCTTTTCAAGTCCCTATCCAATTCCTTTTTGTAATCAATTAATTGACAGCAATTCTGTATGGATTAGTCTACAGCTGAGTGGGATGCTTTGGGAACCTTTGATCCAAAGTTGCCCCGTTCATCCGACGACACCACATTACGTTATTGTACCGTTAATCCATCCTGAAGATTTGCCCTCTAAGTGTCCACGGATTCTCTCTTTCTCTCCGTAGCTGAATCACTTTCCTGGGTCGTTCCAAATCGGGCGCAAGGACCGACTGTGGCGGAACCTGTCGAAAATGCAGACCCGTTTTGGCAAAAAGGAGTTTAACTTTTTCCCCCAGTCCTTTGTCCTTCCTCATGACATCAAGCTGCTGAAGGGAGCCTGGGCAGAAAGCAGCAAGCAGAAATGGATTGTCAAACCCGTAAGTTCCGGAGCTGGTTCCACCTCTGCTGCGATCGCCCACAAAATAGACAGTCACTACGCTTCCCAGTAAATTCTGTGAAGCACTTTGGCACGTCCTCCCGACGTGAAAGGCGATATACCAAATGCAAGGATTATTATTATTATAACGTACTGTTTTCCCCCTCTTTCTCCCTGACGTCTTCCCCCCCCCCCACCCACCCACCCACCCACCACCACACTGCCCCTCTCTTGGTGCAGCCGAGTGTTAGCCTAGAAATAACATTCGAGCGTTGCTGTCTTGACTGTGTCCGCACGTGTGTCGTAGCTTTATCAGAAGCAAACTGTCAGCCAGCCCGCTAATGGTTTTGGGGTGTTGTGTTATCTCTTGTTGCAGCCTGCGTCCGCGAGAGGGATTGGCATCCAGGTCATTCACAGGTGGAGTCAGCTCCCCAAGAAGCGGCCCCTGCTGGTTCAGAGGTGGGTCTTGCAGTCATTTGCTGGCATGCTTGAAAACACACAAACAGGAGGAGGCCATTCAGCCCCTCGAGCCTGTTCCGCCATTCTATAAGATCGTGGCCGATCTGTACCTCAACTCCAATTACCTGCCTTTGCCCCGTATCCCTTGACACCCTGACCTCACAAACATCTCCCACCTCAGTCTGGACAATGTTACCTTGAGAACTGACAACAACAACAACAACAGCTTGTATTTACACAGCAGCGCCCCTCACACAGGGCAGCGTCAGAGTGCTTGACACTGGCGGAGCACGACACTGAGCCGGGGGGGGGGGGGGGGGGGAGAGGGGGAGATGACTAAGCACATTGTCTTCCGGAGGGCACTGGTCTTGGCAGGGCTTTGGGGTTCTCTCCCCCCATCCCTCTGCCTGGCCCCCTCCTTCCCCTCTTTTGCATCACGACTGAAGACCTTCCTCATTTGACCGTAAGCGTTACCTTGCAGTAAGTAGGAACCCAGTTGGCAGATCGCTTTCCCGGGGTTAATAATACCTTCAATTTTTTTTTAAAAATACAGTATGAATAATAATAATGTGGCCACTCAATCCACGACTGTTTGTGGGACGCTGCTGTGCGCAATTGGCTGCAGCGTTTCACTTAAAAACACACAGTCACTCCACTTTACAGTATGTTCTGTGAAACGCTTTAAAGATGTCTCGAAGATGTGATGAGGCGCTATATCAAATGCAAGCATGATTATTGTTATAATAAAACTTCTCGACCTGATTCCTTTCTCTTCGCCACAGGTACTTGCACAAACCTTACCTCATTGGCGAGAGCAAGTTTGATTTGAGGATTTATGTCTACGTGACGTCTTACGATCCGCTGCGGATCTACGTGTTTACAGATGGCTTGGTGCGATTCGCAAGCTGCAAGTGAGTGTGACTGACCGACAGACTGATCCATACAGTGGCTCCCTGTGTGTCCTGCAGGGTCTGCGCATGTAGCCTCCTGTTCCGCTGCGTTAGAGGATTTGAAATAATGATTCAGATTTACTTTCTCAATTCTATTTAGATTCCAAAAATTACAACAAAAAATTGTGTTCCTGTAAACGAATTCCTGATATTCACAGCTTGCTCCTCCCTATTTCTGTGACTTGCTAACCCCATAACAATCTGTCCACTCCCTCTGCTCAGGGAATTCCGACCTGCTCCAGGTATCCCGCACAGCCCACCCCACCATCGGCGGTCGGGCCTTCAACCTCTACCTCCACCTTTGGAACTCCATCCCACAGTCCCTTCCCCTCGCCCCCTCCCTCGCCTCCTTCAAGAATTGTCTTAAGACCCTCCTCTTCGACTGCGCCTTCGGTCACCTTCCTACCCCCACCCTCTCCGACCTCCACCACCCTCCTGATCCCAACCCCCAACACGGGTCTAAATCCCTTGGGACATCCTCCTGACGTGAAAGGCGCAGTGTAAATGTAATTTGTAATGGATTTCAGTTTCTTATGGTTTTGGGTGTGGTAACAGGAATTGCTCGTGACATTTACCTGTTTGTTGTGCCTCCCCAGGTATTCAGCTTCCATGAAGAGCCTTAGTAACAAGTTTATGCACCTCACTAACTACAGTGTGAACAAGCTGAACACAGAGTACAAGCCCAACGGTGATGAAACCGTCTGCCAAGGACACAAGTGGTGAGTTTAGGCTGATTTAGTAACTACATTCAAGAGAATAAATATAATAATCCTTGCATTTGATATAGCTCATTATCAGATCTTTGAGAATATACTGCAAAGTGTAGTGACTGTTTATTTTGTGGGTGAAACAATAACAACTTGTATTGTTGTTTATTTATATAGTATTCTAGCAGGATAGCGTCTCAGAGCACTTGGTAAATACTAGAGAATTAGTGCTAAATCGGTCTAAATGATTGCTTAGGCCACGGTTGGAGTACCGTGTCCAGGTCTGAGTGCTCCACTTTAGGAAGGATGTTGAGAGTATTACTTGGAGTTGATCTGTAGTTGATCTTTTTATGGATCTGTGCTTCCTGTTTTGTTCTTCCTATCCTGACCGACCGGAGTGTGGACGTGGAGTCCTGTAGCTCAGTGGTTAGTGCTCTCGCCTCACAAGTGTGAGTACCCGGGTTCAATTCCCGGGCGGGGAGAAACCTTCGGCAAGTTTCCTTACTCCACAAGCCTCTGTTTACTTAGGAATAAGTAGGAACCCGGTTGTTAGTCAATTGGCGGATCGCTTTTTCGTGGGTAATAATCCCTACAAAATAAACAGTCACTAGACTTTACAATAATTTCTGTGAAGAGCGCTGAGATGTCTCGAAGACATAATAAGACTCTGTATCATAATGCAAGGATTATTACATGAGTCTCACTTGATTGTAATTGCCTCCTGTAGGGCACTGAAGGCATTATGGGCATATCTGGGCCAGAAGGGAGTCAATACGGACGCACTTTGGGCGCAGATTAAAGATGTGATCGTTAAAACCATCATCGCGTGAGTTATGTTTATTTATAAAAAAAATCAACAAGATACAGAATCAGCGAGTAAAGTGGGTCAGCAAAAACAATACCACTTATTACATATAATACAATATAAAATGACATTTACACAGCGCCTGACTTTCATGTCAGGAAGACGTCCCGAGGCGCTGGACAGTCAGGGGTCTGGACCCGAGCCTGGGGGTCGGGCTCGGGGAGGATGGTGGGCAGGGAGGGTGGGGGTAGGAAGGTGACCGGATGCGTATTCGAAGAGGAGGATCTTGAAGCATGTTTTGAAGGAGGCAAGCAAGGGAGGGAACAAGACGAAGGGACTATGGGGTGGAGTTTCCAAAGGTTGGTGGCAGAGAAGCTGAAGACTCGACCCCCTTGGGATGAGCTGGGCGAGGGATATGGAGCCTGCTGAGCGGAGGGAGCAGACAGGTTGAGGTTGATATGGGGTGAGCAGGTCGCAGAGGTAGGAAGGATCATTATTCTTATGATTGATATTTACCTGCTGTTGCTACTCTTTGAGTTGACAGTCACTTCTTCCTTATTGGGAAGCACAAAGCCAGCCAGGTTCAGCTAATCATCTGTCCCTTAATGTTAATATCCAGCATGGAATTGGAATGCAAGCTGATGGGAGCAAGGTCATGGATGGCCTTGAAGACGAGGACAATGTCCCAAACATTTTAGGGATATGGGGCGGGATACGAGTGGTGTCTTGGGTAGATATGTGCATATCTTTTCATCTGGACGAGTAACTGATACTGACATTTCCAGGTTCTACATGGTCTTAAAGCCCAGAAGGTTTGAAATCGCTTTCCTATGAGTGTTTTGCCCCCTTACGCTATCTGCCTTGATCTGTACCTGCAGCTCGGAGGCCTATGTGAACAGCCAGCTTAACATGTACGTAAGGAACCGTTACTCCTGCCACGAGCTCTTTGGCTTTGACGTCATGCTCGACGAGAACCTCAAGCCCTGGGTCCTGGAGGTCAACATCTCACCCAGGTACTGTTAATATTAATATAATAATATAATAATCCTTGCATTTGATACAGCCCCTTATCACGTCGTTGAGATGTCTCAAAGCGCTTCACAGAATATATTGTAAAGTGTAGAGACTGAATTTTGTGGGCGAAACGCAGCAGCCAATTGCGCACAGCAGAGTCCCACAAACAGTCATGGATTGAGTGACCACATTTTATTTTGAAGGGATTATTACCTTTGGAGATGCAATCTGTCAATTGACTAACAACCGGGTTCCTACTTACTGCTGGGTAAATAGGTGTGTGGAGTAAGGAAACTTGCTTAATGTTTCGCCCTGCCCGGAAGTCGAACCTGGGTCCTCTCGCTTTCCGAGGCGAGTGCTCTAACCCCCACGCTACGGGATTCATAATGCTCTTGCCCCCAGTTCAGGGTAGCTCCATTGCAGTGCATTGTAGGAGGTGTCTTCCTTCAGGTGAGATGTTAAACGGCGTTCCCCCAGTACCTGCACTGGAGCCTCAGCCTAGACTGTGAGCTCACATTCCTGATGTTGGGCTTAAATACATAACCTTCTGAACTGGTCAGTATATCTGACCCACAGAACTGGATGCACAGAAATGGGACACGTGAGACAGAGTGAAAGCTACCTTAATGTGTTGAGTTCAAAGTTTTCCCTGAGCTATGTTGCTGCCGTGAGGAGTAAATGGCTGTGCTCTCTTTATAAAATCATTTCCTAAGTGGGATTGTTTTCAATGGCTGACTTTAATTTTCCATTTTGACTCCCATCAGCTTGCATTCCAATTCCATGCTGGATATTAACATTAAGGGACAGATGATTAGCGATCTCCTGAACCTGGCTGGCTTTGTGCTTCCCAATAAGGAAGAAGTGACTGCCAACTCAAAGGGTAGCAATAGCAACAGCGGGTAAATATGAATCATCATAACAATCCTTGCATTTGATATCGCGCCTTATCATGTCGTCTTGACGTCTCAAAGCGCTTCACTGGATATACTGTAAAGTGGATTTATTATGTAAAATACTGTATTTTGTGGTTAAAACACGGCAGCCAATTGCTCGCAGCAGAGTCCCACGAACAACAAAATAAAATTACATTTGTATAGGGCCTTTCACATCGGGAGGACATCCCAGTCATGGATTGGGTGACCAATTTTTTTTATAGGAAGGGATTATTACCTCCAGAAACCCATCCGCCAAACAACCAACAAGCGGGTTCCTACTTACTGCTGGGTAAACAGGGGGGTGTGTGTATGGAGTTAGAAAACTTGCCCTGTCTGGGAATCGAACCCGGTTCCTTTTGCTTGCGAGGCAAGCACTCTAACCACTACGCTATAGAACTCCACTTGGGGTTATATTAAATACAAGGACTATTGTTTAACATTATACACGAGGGGAAAGATGCAAAGATGTTAGAGGGCTTGGGAAGCTCTCTGTATTTGCCTCACCGGGAACAGCGCATTGCGGAGGTGTGATATTGAGTATAGAATACAGTAACCAGAGATACGGTTAGAGCAAAGGAAAACTTGGAAGTATTTTATCCTTTCACTAAGGAGCAGCTCTTGTCAATAAGAGTGGCAACTGGTTGAGGAGTCCTAACTTGAGGCTTTGTGTTTTTTCCTGCAGAGGGTCAATTACCAGAGCGATAAGCAGTAATCTCGAGCTTTCTGCAGACGAGAAGCTGAAACGGGTTTACTTTCTGAGTCAGAAGCCATCGAATCTGGTAATGTTAAACCTCCAGGCCTTGCATTGACTTATACCCAAGCCAACAAGAAGGCAATTGTTAGCTCCGCGGTGAATGGCGTCGTTGATCGCGGGGGCCGGGGAAGGTTAGGACAAAGAAGACCTTTTGATCCTGCGCTGCTAGGCTAGCCACCCACTTCTCTTCCCACGATGGCATCAAGCAGTTTGTTCAATGAATCCAGGTGGCGGTGATCTGAACTGCCCTTTCCTTATAACCAGTTCCAGCTGTTGATGACGTGCTGCAAACCAGCTGTTTTATCAGCTCTACAAGGTGTTCACAAAGTCCTGTTACCCCCACGTGTGTGTTTTTCTACAGTGCACTGACCAATAACTGAAAGAATGCTGATGATAATTGTATTTAGAAAGTACTTAATTGTATTCGGTTCAAGTGTTTAACTGTGTTCAGACGTCCACAGGACTCCACTATTAGAGAGTAGTTCTATTAGTGAGGGGAGGGGGGGGCAAGGGAGGTGGAGCAAAGAAACAATGTCCCACAAACAGCCTTGAAGTGAACGAGCAACTTTTATCTGGGGGATTGTTGGCCAGGATATTGGGAGAAACGCCCTTCTCTTTTCAAACCGTATCATGGGATCTTTAACGTCCACCTGAACAGTCAGAGATAGGACCTCGGTTCAACGAATCGTCCAAAAGACGCTTGATTGCATTTGCTTAGCATTTCCAAGCATCCAAATTCTTAAAACACAGCCTTGACTTTGAAGCCGGTTTTCTGTAAGGTTCTTAACAGAAGAAAAGCTACGGAAAACCACGGGCTCCAGGTTGAGACTGAATTCAATAATTTGCCAAGTTCTAAACGGCTGCTTTAGTGGAGTGAATCTGGACCCGTGGAATTTACACATCTTATCCTCCTCAATTAGTTTCTTTTCGAACTAACTATTTAATTCCCTCTTAAATTGCCCGACTAATGTGTCTGCACCACCCCTCTGAATCATCCATTCCGCATATTTATTCTCCGTGTAAAGTAATTCATCTGAATAGTCTGTTCACGTTCCTTAATAATAATTATAATAATCCTTGCATTTGACAATAGCGCCTTATCAGATCTTCCAGACGTCTCAAAGCGCTTCACAGAATATACTGTAAAGTGTAGTGACTGTATATTTTGTGGGCGAGAATATGCAGTCACTATAGTTCACATCTTGTGGTAGAGCTTATGCCAGTTTGTTAAACTGATGTTTGTCTGTACCCTTTAGGAGCCTGAATACTTCGATAACATCTCCCCCACGGTTTCTCTGCTGTGTGAACAATCCCAGTCTCTCCACGTAAACCAGGTGCCTACATCCAGTTGTCAATTTAGTTATCCTTTGCTGTGTCATCTTCTCCACAGCACAATGTCCTGCCTCGGGCCTTAATACTAATAATTAATAATCCTTGCATTTGATATTTGAGTGGAATACTATTCAAAAAGAGAAGGGAGTTTCTCTGTCCTGCTATCCTGGCCGACAATCCCCCAAATAAAATTGATCACTTACTCCAGGGCTGTTTGTGGGACGCTGCTGTGCGCAATTCGCTGCCACAAAATACACAGTCACTCCACTTTGCAGTATATCCTGTGAAGCACTTCGAGACATCTCGACGACGTGATAAAGTGCTATGTCAAAAGCAAGGATTATTATTATTATAGCACCTTATCACGTCTTCCAGACGTCTCAAAGCGTGTGTGTGGAGTAAGAAAACTTGCCCAGCATTTCGCCCTGCACGGGAATCAAACCCGGGTCCTCTCGCTTGCGAGGCAAGCGCTCCAACCACTGAGCTACAGGACTCCAATGGAGAGTATGTGTAAATGTAACGTGTTGTTAATGAAGTTTCTTCTGCTGTCTGCTGCCTTCCTCGCCCTTGTTTTCTACACTCTTCATGTGTCTGCTTTGTTTGTTAGCGGATTAGAAGACGGGACGCCATATAAATGCGAGTTGTTTTTGTGTGACTGTCACTCTTTCTATCTCCCAGGAGTTCAGTGCCTCGCTGCTAGAGATCCTCACCCCCGATGATGTGCGCATGTTAGTCGAGACGGAAGACGAGAACAATCGTCGAGGGCATTTTGAGCGTATCTTCCCCTCCGTGGACTCCTCACGGTACCTGCGGTTTTTCGAACAGACCCGTTACTTTAACATCCTGCTGGACCAGTGGGAACAGAAGTACGGTGTTCACAGGAAACCAGGTACAGCGCTCAGCACGATAAGAACATAAGAATTTGCTGGCGAAAGAAGATCGAGGTCCATCTTGTTCACCTTCCACCATCCTGGCAGTCGCTTGACATGTCGTGCCCCAAACTGTACACTGTATATCAATGGCAAGTTGTGTGGGTTTAGCTGGTTAGACCCCAGCAGTTACCCCGTCGAACACTGTCCCTGTGCCTAATACTCTCTGAAATTAGGTAAGAGAGAGAGCGTATTCCATTCCAACAATCTTATCTCTGGGATTTCCACGTGTGGGTGGGATGCAGGGAATTCTCAGTTTGGTTTGGAGACTCTCAAAAGCACGGTGACGGGTTTCCGCTCGGATCAACACCCGGCCGACCCCCAAAAATTGAAAGTTTTGAGGCAGGCTGGATGCCCACAGTCTTTTCCCAGCTCTGCAGCTCCAGACCAGCTCCGTTCCTTAACACCGCCATGTTTCTGCCCACAGGAATTGAGTTGCTGAGAGAGTTGACTCACAAACGGGTTCATCAGGGGGTGTCTGTTAGCCCTACACACATTGTGAGTACTCGATGCAGCTTATTTTCTCTCTCCGGTTTTCACCACGTCTTCAAGCCATGTTTACAGTAAGGCAGGTTATTTGAGATCACAAAATGAAGGCCCTTCGACTCATTCCTTCCAGACTGACCTCCCCTCCCCTCTTCCCATCACAGCATCAAATTATTCGGCCGCTGCTGTATCACTCTTGTCAGCCCTTCGCTCTCATTCTGTCATTCTCTGACTCTCTCTCTCCTTGACATTCTTTCTCTCACTCTCTCAGTTTTCTACTTCTGCGTCTTTGACTTTTTCTCTCCCCCCTCTCTCTCTCCCCTTCCCCCTCCTCTTCCCCTCCCTCTCTTTCCTCTCTCTCTCCCTCCCATCCCACTCTCTTTCTCTGTCTCCCTCCCCCCCACTTTACTCTCCCCCTCCCTACCTCTCTCTCTCTCTCTCTCCAAAGTCAAATCATTCTTGTGCGTGTTACAAATGCGTCTTTTGGATGAGACGTCAAACCTCCCTCCCCGTCTGCCTGTTCAGGTGAACATTAAAGATCCAGCAGCATTGAAAAGAGAACAGAGTTTTTCTCTCTCTCCCGGTGTCCTGGCCAACAATTCTCCCAAATAATAATATTGGTCACTCGCTCCATAGCTGTTGGTGGGACGTTACTGTGTGCAGCTGTGTTTGCCTACAAATACATTTCACAGTAAATCCTGGAATGCGATCTTCACAGATGTCCTCCCAACATGAAATGCAAGGATTATTATTTGGTGTAACTTGACTCCCCTTCCTCCCACCTCTCCTCAGTCTGAGCATATATTCCAGCGCGGAAACTGGAATCTGGCACCCAAGTCTAGTCCCAAATAAAAGTAATTCCCTTTCTCTTGGTGCAGTGGCGACCACCCAGATTATTACAAAACCAGAGGATGGAGATCAGCCTGAACAGCTTGTACAAGATCCACAACTCCTTACTGAGGTAGGACCCGCATGGAACTGAGCACTGAGCCTTTTATATAGGAAAGTCGATTTAACAGACGTGGAGAGGTGAAGTATGTCACTGGTTAGAGAAACCCTGGATAATTATGACTAATTTAGGGGTGGGGGGAGGCGATTTTGCAGTATTTCTTAATTAAGAACTGGAAGGGCCGTCGGATAGAGACGGAATGTGTTCAGGAGGTGGGGAAGTCCAGGATATCTGGCTTGGAAGTCCTGCCTTAACATCTACCCCTTCGACCACCCCTACGGTCACTTCCCTGTTTTGTGCAATTGGCTGCTGCGTTTTGCACAAAATACACAGTCACCTCACTTCACAGTAAATTCTGTGAAGAGTTTTGAGACATCCCAATTACTTAATAAGGTGCTATATCAAATACAAGAATTGTTGTTGTTGTTTACAAAGATCCTTGTGTGTGTGTGTTTAGCTCCGGTGCTATTATCGCATCAAGGAAAGGATTGAAGGGGAAGGATTGTGATGGTGATGGGGTGACTCTAGTGGATGGCCTGCCCTTGCCCACCTGTGAGATTGGTTTTCCAATCAACCAACCAACCAACAAACCAACCAATATCTAGCTGAGGAGCCAACATGGAAGCATTGCCTTAGCTGTCTACCTACCTACCTACCGCCCTGCAGACCTGTGCTCGCTTTCCAAGAGTCTACCTCAAAACCACACACAAAAAAAAGGAATGAAAGAGGTTGAAGAAAGAAAAGCAGCCCTCGTAGATTGAAGACGGCCTTTGTGCTTTCACTTAAGCCAATGTGCGCTTTTACATGGAACTCCTCCAACTCTGGGATAAACACGAGGCACCTGACCCAGTCTGGCAACGCTTTTAATGTCTGGATACGGAAAAGTCATTCTCAAAACCTCGATATCAAGCCGAATGCAAAAAACGCCATCCCCTTGTGTCAAACGAGAGAGCTCAAGTTGCTTGCCCAGGTATGATGGCTCTCTGAAACGAGCAGAGAGAGAGTGGGGGGGTGGTGGGGGCACTAAAGATTTTTTTTCGCTAACACCACTCGGAAAAGAGAAGGGAGTTTCACACGGCGTCCTGGCCAACGATCAGTCTCCTCCCAACGATCGAACGCAACCCTTCAGCTGCCCGGTCAGGAGTGAGTGTGCGCGTGTGGCTGTGAGTGAGCATGGAAGAACAGTTACGTTCCACAAAATGGCCATCGACTTTATAACTCATCACTGGGCAGTGCTTTGTCTGCAAAACCACAGCACACTTTCTTACACGCTTACTTTGTTTTTGTCCCCCCCCCCCACCCACCCTTCCTCCCCCACCCAGCCCGTCCCCCCATGAGAATGAATTTCTTTTTTTTACAGAAGTGAAATATGCAGGAACATTTCAAAACATATTAAATTCATATTTTTTGCTTGATTTCTCATTTGTTAAGCCGTTTGCTTTGTTGTGGAATCTCTCTGCAACCGCAAGCCCTTTTGTTAAGTTCGCCGACTTCTTCACCCCTCCCGATTCCCGTAGCGTAGAGGTTAGAGCAGTCGCCTGGCAGGGTGAACCCCGGGCAGGGGGAAACCTGGTAAGTTAGCAGTAAGTAGCAGCCCGGTTGTTAGTCGATTGGCGGATCGCTTTCTGGGGGGTAATAATCCCTTCAAAAAAAAAAAGAAAAATAATAATTTGGTCACTCAATCCACGACTGTTTGTGGGACTCTGTGCGCAATTGGCTGCCGCATTTCGTCCACAAAATATACAGTCACTTCACTTTACAGTGAAGCGTCTCAATGGAAGCGATAAGACGCTATATGTAATGCAAGGATTGTTATTATTTGTAGTAGGGCCTGACCTCTCACTGGATTAGACTCTGGGCGGCTGTCTGGGCGGAATAGAATAAATACCCGGCTAATAGGAAACGCCACTCTTTAAACAGTGCAAATTTTCGCTCCAAAAATCGAGCCACGTTTGGTGGCGGCAAACACCAGAGACAAAAGGCCAAGGGACCTTCCTTACAAAAGGGTTTGTTGCTTGTGGAGATACAATCCGCTGTCTGTCTCAACCTGCTTGACTTGACTGTATTGGCGGTGTGTGACTGGCTATTGGGATGGGGTGGCAGTGTCGCTTATGTGATGGATGGAGTTGGTGGTTTTAAGTCATTTGAAGGGTCCGATTCCGTCTGCTCTAAGGGCTGGCGATCGGAGGCTGAAACCCGTTTGAAACCGGAGCCCGCCATTCAGAGCTGCAGTCGGTGTTAGTCGATCCTGTTGTAAGCGCAGCACGACCTATGGCTGCTGTTGCCTGCTGTTCGTTATAGTGTGTGCACTGGGGGTAAGGATGGAGCAGGGAGTTGAAGGCGAGGCCAATATTTGCACTTATCTGTACAGAGCAAGTATGTTCCTCTCTCCAAACCCAGCTCAACTGTCAAATGTCCAGGACATCGACAAAGTCCTGTTACCCTCTCTCTCTCTCTCTCTGTCTCCCTCGCTCTCCCTCTCGTTTTCACACCCTATCTCCCTCCCCCGCGCTCACTCTCTAAATCCCTCTCTGTCTCCTTCCCCTTCTCTCCCTCTCTCCTTCTCTCCCCATCTCTGTCTCCTTCTCTCCCTCCCCTGTTGATTCACGAACAATTCCCCCGGTAAATTCTGGCATTCACTTTCTTAGCTGTTTGTGTGCAAATTGGCTGCCGCATTTGCCTACCAAATGCTACAGTCACTACACTTGACAGCAGTTCCCTGGCAAGGCTTTGAACATCGATAGACACTGTAGCAGATGAGATATCGCCATGTTAGGCCGAATGACAGCTTCCATCTGCATTTAATTCCATTCTGGTTGCATTAACCTGAATCGCCATGTTATTCACTGCTAACTTTCCACAGGACGGCCACACAGCTTTAGCCTGGACCGTAAAGAGGTTACGTTAGGTGGGAGGGTGAGTGGATTCTGCGTCACTAGGAGAGGGCAAAGATTGTTGAATTCTACACACAATGTTCTCTCCTTCTAACCCGAACCCACCCTCGTACTTAGATGCTAAAACCTTTTTCTCTTTCATTGGAATTTTCTGTCATTCATTCAGGGTTTGAAGTGAAATGTGGGCTGAAAGGGGTCGAGGGAGTTCTTTAAGTCTTAACAGCGCATAATTTCTAATAGGTGTTAACACGTCACCAGGTATTATGAAGGAACATTTGGCAAACTGTGAACTACACGCAACTTATCAATCCATGACTGTTTGTGGGTCACTGCCATGTGCAATTGGCTGCCGCGTTTACACCCACAAAGTACACAGTCACTCCACTTCACAAGTAAATCCTGTGAAGCGCTTTGAGACACCTCAACGACAAAATAAAGCACTGTATCAAATGCAAAGGTTAATAGAATAGATTAATGAATGTATCCTCGAGATGCCAATACATGACCTTAATATGGTTTACAGTGTTATTCTAGTGACTCTCACAAGGGAGAGTTCTTTACCTCCTCTTCATTCACAACTCTTCCAATTCCCTTTCTCGTACCCACAATGTCCTTGTCTTGTGGACCTTAAACACCCCATGACATTGAATCACTGGGAAAAAGGAAAGGGAGTTTCTCTCTCTCTCTCTCTCTCTCTCTCTCCCCGGTGTTCTGGCCAACAATGTCCCCAGAATTGGTCACTCACTTTGGCTATGGGTGGGACTTTGCTGTGTTCATTTGGCTGCCGCATTTGCCGACAAATACACTGTCACTTTGTTTCACATTAAATCCTGCGAAGCACTTTGAGACATCCGTCCGACAGACATGGCGCTATACCAAGTGCAAGGATTTATTATTATTCCAGCGCTTCCACCTTCGAAGGATGTCCCAAAGTCCTATGAAGTACTTTGAGGCGCTCCATTCCAATGCAAAGAGAGGTGGTTTGGTAGCAAAGTTGGATGGAGCTGTAAACGGAGGCAAAGGAATCTCACGAAGTGCCTCTGTCCCAACAAAATTGCTGTGATTTCTTCACTAAACTCCCTGTCCTTAGATACAGCAAACTATTAACAAGGTCTCCATCCCCTTATCTACACATCCATTCTCTCCCAAGGTATCTGCCGCCTTCCACCCCCAAACAAACAGTCACTACACTTCACAGTGTATTCCGTGAAGTGCTTTGAGACGTCTCCCAAGACGTGATGAGCTGCTGTATCAAACTATTATTATTATTTGTTGATTTTTTAAAAAAAGGTCTCACGCCACTGCCTGACTCCTGTCAATGGGAGAGACGTGGAAGGGTTTTTGTTGCAGCGTTTAAATTTTGGGCGGTAAACGGACAAGTCGAGATGAATTTCAGGCTCACCTCGAAAGAGGTGAAGATGGTTGCATTTGTTCGCTTAGTAAACGCTTTGCTTTTGGGGATTTTCTTGCGGCAAATCGGTAGCAACTGAAGCCAAACCTTCCAAAGAGTTTACACTGATTTATAAACCTCCTCTTTGCTCCTCGGTGTCGGAATCGATTCGGATGCGACAGTGAGGGAGCAAAGACTCAACAACCCCACCTATTACCCCTCCAGCCCCCTCCCACCCCATTTAACAACCTCTCTACTTGTTAATTTAATTTCCCGGTGAAATTCGCTCCCTAAAAGAAACACAAACGCGACGATCGAGACTGCCGGTGATGAGCGGAGAGAGGGAAGGAAATCTTGACTTACCTCCAGTCGAGAGCGCGAGAGAGAAAGAGAGAGAGATCAGTCAATGTGGCTTTTTTTTTTAATGATCTGCACCATTTTAAAAACAACACACACACAACAACCCTTTCCTCTCACTCCCAGAATATTGGAGACCCATAGGGAGAGATACTTACAAGGCTTTTCTGTCATCTCACCTTCAACTTGACCGAGTTGGCTTGAGCGCAAAAGGAAGTCCTGCTAATTAAGGGGGGAATGTGGTGTGTGTTTTTCTGTGTGGGTGGGGGGGGGGTGGGGTGTGGTGTCTGTGACAAAAGTTTACTGAGAAACTATTTTAAGGAACTGTTCATCTGTTTTGTACTTAACAGATATTTTTAATACAATCTAATAATAATAAAGAGGAAATATCGGTGTCACCTTTTGTTCTCTCCATTTATTGTTGATCCACCACAAGGAGCCGAGACTCCTGGAGCTCAGTGGTTAGCGCCACTCGCCTCGCGAGCGAGAGGACCCGGGTTCGATTCCCAGGCGGGTCAGGGAGAAACCTTGGGGCGAGTTTCCTTACTCCGCACATCTCTGTTTACTCAGCAGTAAGTAGGATCCCGGTTGTTAGTCGACTGGCGGATCGCTTTCCGGGGAGAAAAAAAATCCCTTAATTTTTAAAAAAATAATCATAATTTGGTCACTCAATCCACCACTGTTTGTGGGGCCGCTGCTGTGCGCAATTGGCTGCCGCGTTCCGCCCTCCCAAATGTACACTTTGCAGTGAATTCTGTGAAGCGCTTTGAGACGTCTCGAAGACGTGACAAGGCGCTGTATTAAATGCGAGGATTATGATTAAAAACTCCCTCGTAGCACTGCAAGACGCCTCACAGTCCCTCAGCAGCTGTTAAAACTGCCATTTGTTGGAACATAGCCCTTATTGGGGAGCAAAGTGCTTCAGACTCTGGAATGAGCCAATTTGGGACCGGTGCCCGTATCGTATGGTAACAAGACACGGTACAGTTGAGATAGTTACACAATTTACTCCGGTATACATTGCCGGTTTCTCCGAGGGTCCCGGCTGACAGCGAACATTGGTCATTAACTTCGTGCCTCTGTGGGACGGACGTTGCTGTCTGCGAATTGGCAGCTTTTTTTCACCCACTGAATCACGACACTTTACAGTGAAACGCTTTGAGAAATGCTCCCAGAGTGAACGGTGCTACATCGCAGCTAAACCGTTGCATCAGAGCCGCTAAATTCAGTCATTTCACTTTACTGGGTATCCTGTGAAGTGCGTCCTAACGGGGAGGGGGGGGGGTCCTAGCTGGACAAGCAGCGGGAAAGCTGACCAGACAGCGCTCTCAACGGGAAACCATGTGGGTTTAAGTTGGTTAGCCTCCAGCAGTTACCCCAACGCACACTCTGGGCTCCCACCAAGCCTCGGCTCTCGCCAACCTGCGCTTAATACTTTCCAGAATCAGGCAAACGGGATGAGTCCCTCCAGGGAGAGGGAGAGAGAGCGGATTCCATCCCAACAATCTCTCTCTGGGGTTTCCAGGTGTAGGAGGGGATGCGGGGAATTCTCAGTTGGGTTTGGAGACTCTTAAGCACAAGGTGATGGGTTTCCGTGACAGACGCCAGAGAAACAAAATCAGAATTGGGAGTTTGTCCCGTTCTCCTCAGTGCGTCTCTGCTGTGATGTGAAGTAGGGGGGAGAGTGTTGCCGGCTCCGCACAGTGAGGTTAATGCTGCACCCATTGACTTGTGTTGTCAGGGAGGTTATATTTGGGCAGAGGGAGCGATGGCTAACTATAGCAGCCGTGGCCTGGCAGCTATGTGGAGTATGTTGGCACAGTAACTAGGCTAACCTTCTGGTTAGTACACTGGTGTATAAACGGTAGGATATGCTCCTCCTCGTCTCTGAGCTCAGGTCCATATTCGCTGATTAGTGCCTTCATTGTAGCTCACTTGACTTTGCAGTTTGTCTGATTTCCCCTCCACACCCCTAATTGTACTCACTTAATAATTGATCACTTGTATTATAATAATAATAATAATAATTGCGTTTGATATAGAGTCTTATCACGTCGTCGAGACGTCTTTCCGACATGATGGGCGCTATACAAGTGTAATGGTTGTTGTTTGTCCCAAAGCGCTTCACAGAATTTCCTGTAAAGTGCAGTGACTGTGTATTTTGTGGGTGAACCACAGCAGACAGTTTGCACACAGCAGCGTCCCCACAAACAGGCGTGGACTGAGTCACCAATTTTTTGTTTGCAGAGATTATTACCCCCCCCCCCACCCCCCCCGGAAAGTGATCCGCCGATCGACGAACAACCGGGTTCCTACTTACTGCGGTAACCAGAGGCGTGTGTGTGGGTGTGTGCGTGTGGAGTAAGGAAACTTACCTCAGGTTTCGCTCTGACCCGCCCGGGTCCTGTCGCTTGCGAAGCGAACGCGATAACCACTACACTACAGGATTCCACGATCAGATCAGAGGGGATTAGATTGCAGGTCGTAGCTACGCTCGCGCCAGGGGGTGCGTTAGATTAGATTCCAGCCTGTAACTCACTCCGTTATTTTCTATGTGTGGTTCCTCTGCCCCTGTGCCTTGCTTTCCCCTCTAAGCACTTCACGTAGTGTGTGTGTGTGTTTCTCTCTCTCTCCTACGGCTGTTACAGTTCACCCTGGGTGTGAGAGTGAGTAACACACAGCTGGGAACCCACAGACTGCTTTGCTGAGCTGTGTCTGCAGATTTAGACTGCATTTAGCCTCCGAAACAGGCTCTTCACATTCTACCCGTCGCAAATAAACGTGACTGCAAGACTCCGGCCGCCCTGCTCTGAGCAGCTCCAACCCCGGACAAGCAGACACAACAGTCAGGATGCAGCAAGCTGGGCGAGAGCCAGCGAGACAGGTATTATTGCTGCTGTGTTTGGGGTCAATGTGAGCATAGCCACCTGCTCTCCTCGTGTGTGTGTGCGCGTGTGTGTCTGTGTCTCATTCTCTCGCTCGCTCGCAAGTGCCTTTCTATGTACATCTCCCTCCCCTCTCCGTCTGTCTCTGCTTCTCTATTACACTCATTCTGTACCCTCCTCTGTCTGTCACCCTCTTGAACTCTCACTCTCTCACACTCACTTTTCACACACATTCACTGACACTTCTCACCTGTTCGCTCACATGTCCTCGACCCACGTTTCTCCGCACTTGTGGAGTCCTGTAGCGTAGTGGTTACAGCACTCGTTCCGCAAGCGAGAGGATTATGACCCTGGAAAGCGATCCACCAATCGACTAACAACCAGGTTCCTACTCACTGCTGGTGAACAGGCGCGGAGCGGAGTGAGGAAACCTGCCCAAGGTTTCACTCCGCCCGGGCATCGAACCCGAGTCCTCTGTTTATGGTTCACCGCTGCGCACAAATCGGCTGCCGCGTTCACCTGCAAAGCACACAAGTCCCCGCACCTTACAGTAAAATCCCGCGAAGCGCTTTGAGGTGTCCCGACGACATGATAAGGCGCTGTGTCGATGGCCAGGATGACCATTGCTTTGTTATTAAGTTCAGAACAGATGAGTGAATCGGGTGCTGTGAGCGCTTCTTGTGTCTGTTCTCATTTCTTTTTCCGGGGACTCGTAAAGGGAAAGCGTAGGTCCGTGTGCAGGTGAGGCCCACATCACCCCTTGTGCTATGTTCCTTAAGTGACTGACTTGACCGACCAGTCAGTTGACTCCATCACCTCCTTTTGCCCGGTCCAGGCAGGTGCTACTCCCCCACGGAGCCGCCAGGCGGCGCTGCGGAGCAGCACTGCAGCTCAACAGCGCCGCTCCCAGGACCTCGGTGGCACTGCAGCACTTGGCAATGCGCCCCCAACTTTCAACTGGTTCTCTGCCTCCAGTCACAGTTGTGAGCAAAAAAAAAAGTTGGAGACCTCATCTGCAGGACCTGGAAGGACTGACCAGTCACTGGGAGCAGTGAATCCTTCCCCCCCTCCTCAGCTCCTGTTAACCCCGCAAACCAAAGCCCTAACCCGCGGGGAGGGTGGTCCGAGCTGGACATGCAGCGGGAAAGCTCGGCCAGACAGCGCTCTCGCTCTCTCTCTCTCTCTCTCTCTCTCAATGACGAGCCATAGCGTTTCACCCGATCAGACTCCAGAAGTTCCCCCCCCCACCCCCCCACCCCCCACCACCCCCCCCGAGCGCACACTCTGGGCTCCCCCCAAACCTCGGCTCTTGCCAACCTGCGCCTAATACTCTCCGGAATCAGGTAAGCCGGGGTTGGGTGCGGGTGGGCATCCCTCCAGGGAGAGAGAGAGAGAGAGAGAGGGGGGGAGAGAGTATTCCATTCCAACAATCTATCTCTGGGATTTCCATGTGTAGGGGGGGGGGGGGGAGGCCTGGAATTCTCAGCTTGGTTTATAAATCTCCCCCCACGGTGATGGGTTTCCGCACGTGTCAGACACCCGGCTGACCCCTCCCTCCCTCCCTCCCCCCCGCAAAACGAAATTGCATTTGATATAGCGCCTTATCGCGCCGTTGAGACGCCTCAAAGCGCTTCACAGGATATACCGTAAAGTGTAGTGACTGTATAGTTCGCGGCAGCCAACGTGGGCACAAGCAGTGCCCCACAACTCCCTTCGCTGTCGAGTCGTGCTGTGGGAGCTTTAACGTCCTGTGTGTGTGTTAACATCCGAGCAGTTAACCTCTCTCTCTCTCTCTCTCTCTCTCTCCTCCCTCAGCCCTCAGAGCCGGAGGGCGTCCCGGCGGAGATGGTCATCACAGACACGATTGGTGAGTGACTGCCCGTCCGTGTCGCTTTATTTGTTTAATTGTCTCCTACCAACATCCAACGTCCACCCCCACCCTCACACCTCCACCACCACTCCCCCCCCACCACTGCTCTCACTTGTGTGTCTGCGTCTAATTTTATCGGTGTGTCTGTATGTCAGTGTGTGTGTCTGTGTGTGTGTGTTAGTGTGTGTGTGTGTGTGTGTGCGTCACTTCGTGTGTCAGTGGGTTTGTGTCAGGGTGTGTGTATCAGTGTGTGTGTCAGTCTGTGTCAGTGTGTGTCACGGTGTGTGTCAGTGTGTGTGTCTCAGTGAGTTTCTGTGTATCCTGTTGCAGAGTGTCTGACAGGGATCCTCTTGTGATTGACAGCGGCCGAGCCCGACGGGGAGATTTACATGAATTTTATGAAGGAGAACTGCTGTTACGATGCCATTCCCACCAGCTCCAAACTCATGGTGTTTGACATCAAGCTGCAGGTATCGCTGGTGTGGGGGGGTGTGGGGGGTCAGGGCCAGGTAGCTCTCTCTCTCTCCTCTCTCTCTCTCGCTTCCAAGTCCAAAGGTTGTGGGTTCAGACCCCCACGTCGATCGGGACTTGGAATCACATTGTCGAAGCTGATGCTCCGATGCAACAACAACGACAACACCCAGAGCCGGACTTTCACGTCCCGAGGCGCTGGACAGTCAGGGATTGGGACCTGGGCTGGGGGTAATTCTCTCGCTCTTTTTCATTCTCTCTCTCTCTCTCTCTCTCTCTCTCTCTGCTTCGTTTTCTCTCTCTCCCTCTCTCCCTCTCTCCAGGTGAAGAAAGCCTTCCTCGCGATGGTCGCCAATGGGGTGAGGGCGGCCCCACTGTGGGACAATGTGCGACAGTGCTTTGTGGGTAGGTTGACGGTTGGTCTGTACATGTTCCCCTCTCCCCTCTCCCCTCCCCCCTCTCCCCTCCCCCCCATTCTTCCTTTCCCCCCACCCTTTCCTTCCTTCCCCAACCCCGAGCGGGGCTGAGATCAGACCCTCGTGGTGAGGTGTCTCTGAGTCTGAGCGTTACCTGCCCAGTCAGGGGGGAGGGATTTGGTGGGGGTCGGGTGCCACACGTGACCGGGCCACGCGTGTAACATGTTGAGCCATGGAGTGGCGTGTAACCACCGTTCTGTGTCCCGGACAGGCATGCTGACCATCACAGACTTCATCAACATCCTACACAAGTATTACACCTCTCCCATGGTGAGCGATGGGTGGGGGAACGGAGGGGACGGGGGTACGGTGGGGGGGGGGAGACTATAACTATTGTTTATTTTTAAATATTATCATTAATAATAATAATATTATTGTGTTTTTTTTTATTATTTATTGTTATTTCCTCCGGTGCGTTTGTTTAATTTTGATATGTTTCTGTTTAGGTGCAAATTTATGAATTAGAAGAGCATAAAATCGAGACCTGGAGAGGTGAGCGATGATTCCGTGATTAATAATAATAATAATAATAATAATAATAATAATAATCTTTGCATTTGATACAGCGCCTTATCGCGTCTTCGAGATGTCTCAAAGCGCTTCGCAGGATATAATAAAGGTGTATTGGAGAGAATAACAGTAAAGCGACAATGGCGTTTGACTGTATCTATCTCTCAGTCACCATTTTTTTTCTCTTCCTCCAGAAATTTATTTACAAGATTCCTTTAAAACGCTGATCAGCATCTCCCCCAACAGCAGGTATCGGAGTTTGGCTTTCGTTTCATTTATTACTATCAAATCGAACCCGGGTCCTCTGGGCTCCCCCCCCCCCCCCCATCCCCAACCCCCCCCCCCCACCCAGTCTTGGCTCTCGTCAACCAACCTGCGCCTAATACTCTCCGGAATTAGGTAAACAGGATGTGTCCCTCCAGGGAGAGAGAGAGAGAGAGAGAGAGAGAGAGTGTATTCCATTCCAACGATCTCTCTCTCTGGGGTTTCCATGTGGAGGGGGGGATGTGGGGAATTCTCAGTTTGGTTGGGAGACTCTTGATTGGATATTGGCCGCTTTCAATCTTCCATCCAAGGCATTAGAGCCCGAGGACAGGTTTAGAGAAAGGATAATTTCAGGACAGATCCCAGGAAGTATTTCGTAACACCGAGGATAATTACCGTGTAAAACGGGGTGACCAGGAAGGGTGGCTGAGGCCAGGACACTGGGACTGATCGACAAGCAGCTCAGTGCTGTGAAGGAAAGAGGAACGGTAGGGTGGGGTGTTCTGGAGGGATGAGATAAAATGGACCAAAGCTTCATCCAAACCTCTCGTGCCATCTTACGACATTTTACGCTGCTATAAAGCTGTGAGCCGGGGCCCCCTGTGTCGCGGTGTTCTAACAGCCGCCCTCTGCCTCTGACGTACGTTTGACGACTGTTTTTCAGCCTCTTTGACGCCGTTTACTCTCTGATTAAGAATAAAATTCATCGTCTCCCGATCATCGACCCAGTGTCCGGCAACGCGCTGTATGTCCTGACCCACAAGCGCATCCTCAAGTACCTGCATCTCTTCGTAAGTGTCGTCCAGGGCTCCCCCGAACCCCCCCAAACCCCACCCACCCCCCCAATACTGAGGTGGGTAGGTGTTTGTTAGGTCGGGGTATCAAGGGATACGGGGCAAATGCGAGTAATTGGACTTGAGGTACAGATCAGTTGTGATCTAATAGAATGGCGGAACAGGCTCGAGGGGCTGAATGGCCTCCTCCCGTTCCTTTGTTCCTACGTTCCAACCTCCACCTCACAGCGTCGGCCATTTGTAATTGGATTTCCAAGCTACTTCCATAACAAGGGGACGGCATCTTAAGGTCAGAGCGAGTACCAGCTGGAAGTGAGGTCAGGGACGTTTCTTCACGCAGAGGGTGTGTGAGGTGGGGGGGGGGGGGGTAGTGGGACGCACAGCCCCAGAAGGCTGTAGAGATAGAATGGATTGGGACAATCAATGGGGCGATGAATAGGTTCAAGGGGAATCTGTTATAGTGCCCTTTGATGTAACGAAACTCACTTACAGTGAGAATGCCATGAACCTTCTCCTAACGAGTAACGCAGCAAACCTGGCTGACTTCAGGTCACTGCTGACATCACTTCCTTCATGCCATGATCGCACAGGAAGTGATGCCAGCAGTGACCTGAAGTCGGCCATGTTGTGCACGTCACCGAGGCTCAGGCTCCGTATTTGAGTGTGTGAAGAGTTAAGAGAGCTGGGAATCGGGAATAGGTGGATCTGCTGTGATCTAATCTTAACGCACTGAGTGGAACAGAGAGGAGAGGAGTGGTCTGGCTGAATGGCCTCCTCCTGCCCCTGAGCTATTGTCCTCTGGTTTGGTTTCAGGGCGCGAAGCTGCCCAGAGCGAGTTTTATGAGCAAGACGCTGAGAGAGCTGAGCATCGGGACTTACCGGCACGTGGCTGTGGTGGAGGCCACATCCCCCGTTTATAAGGCCCTCGAGCTCTTCGTGGCCAGGAGAGTGTCCGCTCTGCCTGTGGTCAACCAGGAGGGTGAGTGGGGGGAGCGGGCAAGGGGGCAGGTGGGCGGGGAGTCAGCCCCATGTCGGGTGTCTGACATGTGCGGAAACCCATCACCGTTGCTTATGAGTCTCCAAACCCAACTGAGAATTCATTGCATCCCAACTACACACGGAAACCCCAGAGATAGACTGTTGGAATGGAATGCGCTCTCTCTCTCTCTCTCTCTCTTTCCCTGGAGGGACGCATTCTGTTTACCTAATTCCAAAGACTATTAGGCGCAGGTTGACGAGAGCCAAGGCTTGGGGTGGGGGGGGAGCCCAGAGTGTGTGTTGGGGTCTAACCAGCTAAACCCACACAGCTTGCCCATTGCTATAGCCCAGGATGGTAGAAGGCTGAACTAGATGGACCTTGGTCTTTTTTTTTGCCCGGCAATCCCTCTGTTCCTATGACGTTCACCAGATGTGTTCTGTTGATGGATTGTGAGGTTGTGTTGAAGCTTTTTCCGAGATCTTTTCCCATTGTTTTTTCCTTTATCTCCAGGCAAAGTGGTGAACCTCTATTCCCGATTTGACGCGATAGTGAGTACGACCGTCAGATATTTATATTTATATCAGAGATTCATAGGGACACGTCCTCAGTGTTAGCAGCGCTATGTCGAAGGCAAGGATCATTATTAATAATAATAATATTTAGAATAAGACCCGATTTGTAAATCTTCAGGCCAAAAGGAACTATTGGTCAAACCAACAACAACAGCAACTGATATTTACCCGGCACCTTTCGTGTCTGGAGGATGTCCCAAGGCGCTGGACAGTGAAGGGTTTGCACCTGAGCTGGGGGTTGGGATCAGGAGGGGTGGAGGGCAGGTGTGGGGTCGGGGGGGTGGGGGGGGTGACTCAAGGTGCGGCCAGAGAGAAGAGTCTTGAGAAAAGCCAAGTTAGGTCTTCGGTGATGTAACAAGATGGACCAAGGGCCATGGGTTGTGCGATGGGCAGTGCACTTGCCTGATGACCTGCCAGGGGGCGCTCTGGTCACACTGACTGAGGACACTCTGTGCTCTGCCCAGAACCTGGCCGCTCAGAAAGCCTACAACAACCTGGACATCAGTGTGAAGGAGGCCCTGGAGCATCGCTGGCACTGCTTCGAGAACGTGCTCAAGTGTCAGGGCACGAGACGCTGGAGGTCATCATCGACCGGTTGGTCAAACACGAGGTGAGACCCTCACTCCCCAATCCCCTGTCTTCCCCCTCCGTGCGCTGACACACACATCATAAGGCATCTGATGGTGCCAACCCCCTGGTGCTCTCACACAGTCTGAGCCGGTGGGGGGGGGGGGGCGCTGTCGGAGACGCTGTTCTTCAGATGGGACGTTAAGCCGAGGTCCCGTCTCCCTGTACGGAGGAGGGAGTTTCTCTCTCTCTCTCTCGCCCGGTGTCCTGGTCAACAATCCCCCAAATAAAATCCGGTCACTCAACCCCCGGCTGTATGTGGGGACGTCGTCGCTGGGCACAATTGCCTACCGCGTTTCGCCCACAAAATACACAGTCACTACACTTTACGTTGTGCCCTGTGAAGCGCCCGGAGACATCTCGGCGAAGTGATAAGCGCCGGGTCAAACGCCAGGATTATTGTTATTCCTATAAGATGTCTCAAAGTGCTTCACAGAGAATCGCTGTCACGTGTAGTGACTGTGTGCGCTTGTAGGTGATAAGGCTCTATGTCGAATGCAAGACATATTACAACAACAACTTGTGTTTATACATTGCCCTTCACGCCAGATGACGTCTTGGAGCGCTTATTATAGTAATAAAATATTATTATCATTATTACTCACTCGCTGGCTGACTGTAGTGACTGTGCTTCCGATCTCTCCGCCAGGTCCATCGGTTGGTATTGGTGGACGATGAGGATTTAGTGCAGGGGATCATTTCACTGTCTGATATCCTACAAGCCCTGGTCCTCTCCCCCGCAGGTATAGATGCTCTTTACTCCTGATTGTCACGCTCCCCCTCTCCGCTGTATCATTCTAGACAGACACAGGTAGGTGGTGAAAGGTATCCTCGTCCTGTCTGCCCGGCTTGGCCTGCTCTGTCTGGAGGCCATCTGGTCAGCAACGAGCCAAGATTTACTGCTGCCTCTAGACCTTCTCTCCTTCCCCGCTTCCCTCCATCCTCACCTGCACCCTCCTTCCACTCCTGCCCTCCTCTCTCTCATTCCCCCTCATCCTTCCTTCTTTCCCACCCCTCCCATCTCTTTCATTCCCCTTCATCCTTCCTTCCTCGTTTCCCACCCCTCCCATCTCTCCTTCTCTCTCTCTCTCTCCCTCCCATCTTTCCTTCCCGTCTCTCTTCTTCCCCTTGTTCTTTCCCTCTTCCCTCCTCCGCTTCCCCCCCCCTCCCCGCCACCCCTCTCTCCTTCTTCCATCGCCCCCCCACCCCCTATCCCGGGTTCACCATTTGCCATACCGGCCGGCCAGGACTGGGGAACGTTGGTTCCCAATTGGAATCCAATTAATTTGGAGAATCTCCTTTAAAGGGTATCCCGGTTCGTGTCAGCTGTTTATGGTAAATGAGCTGCCAGTGCAATAGCCGGTCATTCCCGACAGTTTCCGGCTGGAAAACTGGGAAACGCATGGGCCGAGCGGCCGGAATGCTGGTGTACTGTCCTGGCCTCGCCCCCACTCCTCCCCCCCCACAGTAACCTCACCCCTCCCCTCCCCCCCCCCCCCCCGGCTCAGTTTTGTGCTCCGCCACTTGTCAAGCGCTCTGAGACTCTGCCCTGCGTGAGGGGTGCTGTGGTGTCGTCGTCGTCGTCGTTGTTGTTGTTGTTGTGGTGGTGGCGGTGGTGGTTGTTGTTGTTGTTAACCCGTTGCATGTGGATGTGTAAGAGGTGAAGCCGCTATTTGGAGGCCTGCAGCGCCTCGTCAAGCCGGGGGACCCGGGTTCGATTCCCGGGCGGGTCGTCAGGGCGAAACCTTAGGCAAATTTCCACACACACACACACACAGACATACACACACACACACACAGACATACACACACACGCGCACACACAGACATACATACACACGCACTTAATCAACGGCTGTTTGTGGGACGCTGTTGTGCGTAATTGGCTGTCACACAATACGCAGTCACTACAGTTCACGGTCTATTCAGTGAAGCGCTTTGAGACAGTCATTCTCGACGACACGATAAGGCGCCACATCAAATGCGAGGATAATTGTTAATATTATGATTAATATTATGGTCCATATTGTTGTCGTTATTATTATTATTATATTATAATATTGTGGGTTCAAACCCCACGTTGGGATTTGGAACCGCGCAGTCTGAGCCGAGCCTCCAATGTAGTGCTGGTTTACACAGTGACCCAAAAAGTTGAGATGAATACCCTATTATCTAAAAATATATATATATGTATCATCATTTCCTTAAGACTTGTTAGACATTGTCCCGGTGTCACGGCTTTTTGGTCACCCTGTGTGATAAATTCCGGGCGCGGTGTGAGAACCAAGTGGTTGTTATATTAATGTAATGAGGATAATTCTGATTAACACTGTGTTGTGACCCGGACACTCACTGCTTCTCCTTCTTGGTTTGGGTCCCACAGATTCTCAACAGACACGAGATTCCAACCAGTCACAGGGGACAACCCTGCGATGAGACGATGGGATGTCCACGGGAGGCGAGGTGGCTACCTGGAAATGGGGGCGTGGGTTGGTGGGGGTTGGGGGGGGAGAGAGGGAGGGGGTGGGGAGAGAGAGGAGAGAGAGGGAGAGAGAGAGAGAGAGACAGGAAGTAGGGGTTTGGGGGGAGAGCGAGAGGGGGAACGTTCTGAGAGATCTCTCAAGGCAATGTGTTCACCTCGGGGCTGAGGTAAGCAATGACCACGATCCTTGCTGTCCGAGTGCGGTGTATGTTAAGTGCTTTGGGACGCTCTCATTCCAAACGGCAGTTACTCAGCGCCTGACTTTCACGCCGGGAGGACGTCCCGAGGCGCTGGACAGTCAGGGATTTGGGCCCGAGCTGGGGTTTGGGATCAGGAGGGGGTGGTGGAGGGCAGGGAGGGAGGGTGGGGGTAGCAGGGTGACCGAAAGTGACCGAAGAGGAAGGTCTTGAGGCGAAGAGACTGAGTTCCAAACACTGGGGACAGAGACGCGTTAGAAATAGGGGGTGTGCGCACGTTCCCCCCCCCCCCCCCACACAAAACCACCCTCACACCCCCCACACACCCACTCCTGGTTAGTTCGATGACTGTGGGAAAGGCATGTCCCCATTTGGGTGGTTGGGGTGGGGTGGGGAGAGGATGTCTCTCTCTCTCTCTCTCTCTGTGTGTCTCTCTCTCTCTCTCTGGGCGAAGAGGGTGGAAACTGAAACCCCTAAAGGTATTTCCCACCATTTATGTTAGGTTTTTTTTTTAAAAAGTGCCCCTTTTTTTAAGCAGAATTTCTATTTAATATCGTTCCGTCTTTATAAATAAAAGTTATTTTCACTTCTGTCACACCCCGAACACGCTCACCCGCCTCATCTTTGATTTAACTAACATCACACAGAATTACACAGCGCAGAAACACTCGTTTCTAAACCAAACCCAAGTCCACAGTCACTGCACTCAGGTCATCATCGGTCCAAAAAAATACTAATGTGGTCACTCATTCCACGACTGATGGGGGGGGGGGGGGTCACTGCTGTACTCAATTGGCCGCCGCGTTTCGCACACGAAACACGCAGTCACTACACTTTACGGTGCGTCCTGTGAAGCGTTTTGAGACGTCTCGAAGACGTGATCAGGCGCCGTAGCAAATGCCTGAAGCAATGTTGGAATCGGAATCAGACGCTCAAACCAACTCACCGCAGGACTCCCGAGTTAAAGAGCAGAAGCCCGAGCGAGGCGGGGAGTCGGGTAAACCGACTGGCTTTGGCTTCCTGGCTGTTTGTATATAATAATAATAATAATTAATGATAATAAATAATAATAATCCTCGCATTTGATGCAGCGCCGCACCGTGTCTTTGAGACGTCTCAAAGCGCTTCGCAGGATACGCTGTAAAGTGTAATGACTGTATCATGTCCTTGTGCAGGTCACAGAGGCGAAAGCTTAAGCCTTCGAGGAGGAGAGAGGTCGGTGTTTCTGATGCATTGTCAGCCACACCCCACCCCCCCCCCCACCCCACCCCACCCCCCCACACCCGCATGTCCCTCTCTCGTTCATTCCTGTTAAACATTCTGAGTTGATGGCCCACCATCGTTGCCAGCAGTCAGCGTGTTCTGCTGTTAATCAGTCTCTCGCTCACCGGCTGTGTGTGTGTGTGTGTGTGTGTGTGTGTGTGTGTCAGGAACATAGCATCTGGTGACTGAAACCCACTGTCACAGCGAACACAGGGACACTCATTCCAACCGCTTTACACTCTCACCCCCAAGTCCGTCTGACTGTACCGTACTCCGCATAGCTGTGTGAGTGTGTGTAGGGGACACGGTGAAACCTCAGGCACGTTTCCTTCCTCCACCGGCTTCCTTTACCAGCGGTAAATAGGAACCCAGTTGTTAGTCGATTGGTGGATTACTTTCCGGGGGTAATAATGGGGGTGGGGAATGGGGGTTAGAGTAGAGAGCTCCAGTGGGGGAGCGAGCCCCAGCACAGACACCATGGGGGGAGAGAGAGAGAGAGAGAGCAGGGAATGGGGTTAGAGTAGAGAGCTCCAGTGGGGGAGCGAGCCCCAGCACAGACACCATGGGGGGAGAGAGAGAGAGAGCGAGCAGGGAATGGGGTTAGAGTAGAGAGCCCCAGTGGGGGAGCGAGCCCCAGCACAGACACCATGGGGGGAGAGAGAGAGAGCAGGGAATGGGGTTGGAGTAGAGAGCTCCAGTGGGGGAAGGGGGTAATTTCTGGAGTGCACAGGGATCATCCATTCGTAACAACCGGGTTAATGTTAACTTTATTATTACTTTGGTGTCAATTAATTACACACCAGAGAGGCAAAGGGCAGGTAAACATCAGGGCTGTGTCTGGACAAACGTTGCCTTTATCAGCTTTGCTCGCTCAGAGTCTCTCTCTTTCTCTCCCTCGGTCACTCACTCACCCACCACTCTCTTTCTTTCTCTCTCTCCCTCTCTCTCTCTCTCTCTCTCACTCACCGCCTCTCTCTTTCTCTCCTCTCAGGCACTCACTCACCCACTCTCTTCCTTTCTTTCCTTCGCTCACTTGCTCGCTCTTTCCTCTCACTCACTCACTCACTCACTCATCACTCACTCTTTCTCTCACGCACTCCCTCCCTTTTTCTCTCCTCTCGCTCACTCCCTCTCTTCTCCTGCTCCCTCCCTCCCTCCCTCCCTCTCTGTCCCTCTTGCTCCCTCTCTGTTGCTTTCTCTCCCTTCCCTTGTACCTGCGCTTTGATGCTCCTCACCTGATCACGGGGAATTTTCTTCTCCCCCCACCACCATACACTCCCCCACCCACCCCTACCCCCCCCCCATACAGACACACACCCACACAACACACACACACACGCGCGCGCGCTGTGGGATGTAAGCCTGTGGCCGGTGGTCGGAGTGAGGAACGTTCCCGGTGAGAGCCAATGGAGAGGAACCGGAATGCCACGCAGGGGAGCGAGACCACCGCACACATCGCCCGCTTTACTGTCTGTCACCGGCCCCCCTGGACACTCAGTGTCCTGTTTGCCGTCCAGGTAAGGAGGGCGTTACACCAAATTTCCCCCACACCACACCCCCCTTCCCCCCCCACCACCCCCCAACCCGCCCCACCCTCGCCAGGCTCCACTACCCTATTGCCCCAACCGTACAGCCAATCAAACACCCCGACATGGATTCATTCGGGTGAATGTGTGACCTTCCCTGATTAATTATCACAGGCTCTGAAATATCACCGGCTTCACCCCCCCCACCACCACCGCCCCCCCCCCCCCCCAACCTCCCCATCCCACCCCAAACCAGATAGATCACACAGTGTCTGTGCTGGTGCCTCCATATCCCCTGCCCACCCCACCATCAGGCGCTCAGGCCTTCATCCTCTCTCTGCCCCCACCCTCTGGAACACCATCCCACAGTCCCTCCGCCTCACCCCCTCCCTTCGCTCCTTCAAGACATGTCTCAAGACCCTCCTTTTCGACTGCGCCTTCCGTCACTTCCCTCCTACACCCCCCACCCCCAACCTCCCTGCCCTCCCAAACCCCTGACTGTCCAGCGCCTCAGGACGTCCTCACGTGAACGACGCTGTGTAAAGGTCATTTTCTGACCTGTTTTCTCCCCATCCCACCTCCCGCTGCCCACACTGGCCTGGCTCCGGCCTCCCGCTCGCCCACCCCCCCACCCCCGCTCCGCCATCGGCTGCCGCACTCTCAGCCACTACGCCCCGAATCTGTGGAACTCTCTCCCTCAATCCCCCCCCCCCCCCGCCCCCCCCCCCCCAGTCTCACCCCCCACTCCCTCTTTCCCCCTCTTTTAAATCACAACCGAAGACCTTCCTCTGCGACCAGTGCTTACGGTCACCTCCTCCAACCCGCCCCCCCCACCCCGGCTTGGGGTCAGGCTCCGCCCCGTCAAGCCTGAAGGGCGCTGTGTAAATGCAAGTTGTTGTTGTTGTGTTAATACTAACCTGTTACCCCTTTACCCCCCCACAGCACCTACTGGTTCAGGCCTCTCTGCTCCAGTCTGTCCACTACTTGCTGTTAGATTCCGCCCCCTCTGCCCAGCACAGCCCCCAGCACGGATACCAGCTGATGCCCAGCAGCCTCTTCTCCTCAGGCCTCGCCACCCTCGCCCAGGCCAGTGTGGGCACCAGGTATAACCCCCTCCTTATCCCCGCCTCTCCCTCACCTCCTTCAAGACCCTCCTCTTCGATCGCGCCTTCGGTCACCCTCCTACCCCCCACCCTCCCCGCCCTCCACCCCCTCCTGATCCCAACTCCCAGCTCGGGTCCAAATCCTTGACTGTCCAGCACCTTGCGACGTCCTCCTGACCTGAAAGGCGCCGTGTAAATGTCACTGTTGTTGTTGTATGTCTGACATCTCCCGTTGTCCTCCACAGGCTGCCACTGGTTCAGGCTCCAACCTTCGAATACCTCATCCCCTCCATGATCTTCATCACCCAATCCACGGGCATCAATGGCTCCAACCACAATGGTACAAGCGGGTGATAACCCCTTTCTCTCTCTCTCTCTCTCTCTCTCTCTCCCCATTGTGTCTGTGCTGGGGCTCACTCCCCCACTGGAGCTCTGTACCCTAACCCCATTCCCACTTGACTGGCTCCGGCCTCCTTCATGTCCCTGTTCCTCTCTCCCCCAATCCCACCGCCTTGCCCCCTCCTTCCCCAATTTTAGATCACGACTGAAGTCCTTCTTCTTTTCGACCGTGTTTACAGTCGTCTCCACTCCCCCCACCGCCCCACCCCACCCGCCCCCCCCCCCCCCGGCTCTGTGTCAGGCTCTGCCAGTGTCAAGCGCTCCAAGACGCAGTAAGTTGTTGTTGTTATCCCACCAGGAACAGCTGATGTGGGGCCTTGTGAGGCTGGGAGATGCCCAGACCAAGAGGCCGAGGTCCGAGACAGATGGCGTCACGGCCTGTCCCAGGTCAGAGTGGTTTCCATCGCGTTTGTTCTCAAATCTTCATCCATCCAACTTTGCGCCATTTCTAACGGACTTTTCCCACATTTCCGTGAAGCGCTTTGAGATTATTGCCGTCGGTATTGCTATTATTATTGATATTAATGTTGATATTATTGGAAACCGTTGATAATTTTGTGGCGGATACTGTGGATATTTGTATGGATATTTTTGCTGATATTAAAATAAATAAATAATACTGTTACTAACATTATATTATTAATATTAGCATTGATCTTAGCATTGGTATTATTGATATTAGTATCAGTATTGGTATTGAGTTATTCATATTGTTGTTGATTTTGTTACGAATGCTACTGATATTGTGGTCGATATGGTGTTAATATTATTATTGTTTGCTGAGCAGGTGCGAGGGGCGGTGGTGATCTCGGGGGCCGTGCGTGTGTTGTTGGGACTGTGTGGGGTTTACGGGCTCCTGTCCCGACACTGTGGGCCCATGGTACTGGCTCCCTTGTTACTGATTATCGGGCTCTCCTTCTACAAAGAGGCGACACATTTCAGCTCATCCCATTGGGGAATCTCTGCCGCGTAAGTTATTCCACAATACAGTGCACTCACACGCTGTACGCACACTCACAATGAACACACACCCACTGGACACACACACACACACACACATGCCGTGTATATACACATGGTACACACACAGCTCCATTTGTTCATCGTTTTGGATGAGACGTTAAACCCCACTCCCCGTCCGGCTGCTCAGGTGGATGTTAAAGATCCCGCGGGGCTGATGGAAAAGGGAAGGGAGTTTTGCTCTCTCTCTCTCTCTCTCTCGCTCTCTCTCTCTCGCCCGGTGTCCTGGCCAACAATCTCCCGGATAAAATTTGGTCACTCACTCCACGACTGTTCGTGGGACGTCGCTGCGTGTAATTGGCTGCCGCGGTTGGCCCACCAAACACGCGGTCGCGACACGGTGCTGTGTATTCCGCGAAGCGCTTTCTTGACGCCGTGAACGAGGCCCTATATCAAATGCAAGGATTATCAGCGTTACGAGACGAATTGAGGGGCTGTAACAGCCTGAGGTGATGGTTTATCGGGGGCGAAACTTGGGACAAACCATTCAATCCCACAAAACTGGGCAAAGAGGCTGATGGTGGGATTTGTGGTGGACATCGTCATCCAGTGGCCAAGTGGTGACATGACAACGGTCCAGGGTTTGGGGCAGTCTGGACGCTGAGCAACCAGTACACTGTGCCATTCAATGTGATGTGCTGTAATTAATGCCTCTTTTGTGGGGCATTCAGCTCCTGGCGCTATCCTTGTCGCTCAGTGGGAGAGGAGGGAATGCATAATGATCGGAGTAATAATCCTGGCATTTGATATAGCGCCTCATCACGTCGTCGAGACGTCTCAAAGGCCCTCACGAGAAAACCTTCGGCAAGTTTCCTTTTCTGGGTCCCTCCCACCCAAAACAATAATAATAATTTGGTCACTCGACTTGTGACTGCCTGTGGGACGCTGCCGTACAAAATTGGCTGCCGTGTTACGCCCACAAAACACACAGTATTTCCTGTGAAGCGCTTTAAGACGGCCCCACAAAGTGATGAGGCGCAATATCAAATGAAAGGACTATTATTTTTATTTATTTCCCCCCCCCCCACCCCACACACAGGTTCATCGTCCTGGTCGTCCTTTTATCTCAACATTTCGGATCCTGTTTCGTTCCCATCTGGAGATGGAGACGATCCCAGGGATTCTCCGTGTGCGCCTACATCCCGCTTTTCCGGATATTCTCGGTACGAGAACCAAAACACGACGTTTGCTAACGGATTGGCCGTTATATTGGGTTTTTTTTTGATCGGCCGCACACAGAAACCCGTCAACGAAACACTCCCAAACAAACTACTCACACACGGAAATCTCCCCTCGTCTGAAATGGAATGCACTCTCTCTCTCCCTCTCTCTCTCGCGCTCTCTCCTGGAGGGACACATCCTGCTTACCTAATTCCGGAGAGTATTAGGCACAGGTTGGCAAGAGCCAAGGCTTGGGGGGGACCCCAGAGTGTGCGTTGGGGGGAACTGCTGTATCAGATGCAAGGAATATTATTATTATTAATATCGTGGTGCTCTAAAAGTCTATTTTTTTTATCCTGATTTCACAGCTGCTTTTCCCGACTCTGTGCCTCTGGCTGTCGAGTGTAATCCTGAGGGAATTGCAGATCATGGAACCTTATCCAGCGGGAAAGATCCCGGGAATTCTCAACAGCAGCAGCAGCAACAACAGCAGCGCACAGCGCGTTCCGTGGCTCAAAATTCCCTATCCAGGTGAACAAGATCCGTGGAAAAATATCAATTGCAGCATCATCGCGCCCTCGTCCCCTCCGCTCCATCCTCAGGTCGCACCTGAAGACCTTCCTCTTCGGATCTTGCCTACGGTCACCCTCCACCCCCACCCCCCCCTACCCCCCCACCCACACCCCCAAACCCCCTGCCCTGTGCGTGGGAGCGACCACAAACAGTCAATAAATAAACCCCTGCAAATTGTTGTTGTTGTTGTCGTTTAGGTGAGTGGGGCCCACCCGCCTTCACGGTCCAGGCTGTGTGCATTGGGATCACCATGGCAACAGCCACCAGCATCAGCTCCATGGGATGTTACATAATGGCCGCCAAGGTCCTGGGCTGCCCTCACCCGCCTCGAGACGCCCACAACCGGGGTATCAGCCTGGAGGGACTGGGCAGCTGTGTGGCCGCCTTCCTGGGCAGTGCCTTCGGGATCTCCTCAAGCGTTCCCAACGTGGGAGCTCTGATGCTCACACAGGTACGAGGATCCCAGCACTGAGAGCAGCGTAAGAATTCGCTGGACAACAACAGCAGCAACAACACATGACATTTACACGGCGCCTTTCATGTCAGGAGGACGTCCCGAGGCGCTGGACAGTCAGGGATCTGGACCCGAGCTGGGGATTGGGATCAGGAGGGGGTGGAGGGCGGGGAGGGTAGGGGGTAGGAGAATGACCGAGGGTACGGTCAAAGAGGAGGGTCTTGAGACGGGTCTTGAAGGAGGCGAGGGTGGGGGTTAGGAGGAGGGACTGTGAGATGGAGTGGCAGAGGGTTGGGGCAGAGAGGCTGAAGTCAGTCCTGCCCGCCAATGATGGGGCGAGCGAGACAGGGGACATGAAGCAGGCCGGAGCCCGCTGAGCCGAGGGAGCAAAAGAAAACCAAAGTCCATCCAGTTTGACCACCACCATCCTGGCAGTCTCAAGTACATGTCTTGTCCCAATCTATATACTGCAGGGTGGCCCAAATGGCGGCCCGCGGGCCGCATCCGGCCCCCAACCCGCCACACACACATTTAATCCGGCTCACCCGCTCCCTCCATAACCCAAAACTGTTGTTATGCTATGTTTCTGGAGGGAAACACAAAGATATTGCTTATGGGGCCCGCGGACATTTCTCAGATTGGGTATTGGGTGTCCAGCTCTCGGCAGCCAAATCCCGATATTATATCCTAACAGAAATCTATCTCATCGGTTCCAGAAAGAAATCGCCACTTTTTGCTTCGACCATCTGTCCACCTGCCCTCCCTCCCTCCCTCCCTCCCTCCCCCCCCCACCCTCCCCCCATAAGGAGCCTGTTCTGTTCCCTAAGTTCACCGCTCACTCACTGAAGTAGTCTTTCCGCACATTCGTCCGGAATTTTCCCCGGGACACTGGGACGACTCAGGGCGGAAATTCCGGGATGAGGTCGGGTTGGCGTCCGGCCGGAGACTCAGTTACTCCCTCGGGAACGTTTTCTTTTCCAGGTTCAGGCTCGTCGCTCGGTGCACATCAACGGCCTGCTGTGTCTGCTGCTCGGAATGTCCCCCAAACTCACCTCGTTCCTCAGCATGGTTCCACCCGCCATTCACGGTAAAGCCGGTGTCCACAACGGTGTCCTTATTTGCTCCCACCGAACGCACAGTCACTACACTTTACAGTATGGTCCGCGAAGCGCTTTGAGGCGTCTCGATGACGTGAGATAAGGCGCTGAATTATTACTACGCAGAGAGCGTTTCACAGAACGTACAGCACAGAAAGAGGCCACTCGACCCAACGAATCGGTGCCTGTGTTTAGTTGCGGGGCTTTGGGGAAAGAGCGGGGGGGAGTGGGACGAGTCGGTTGCTCTTCCAAAGACCCGGCACAGGCACAAAAATAATAATAATAATAATAATAACAATCCTTTAATTTGATATAACGCCTTATCACGTCTTCCAGACGTCTCAAAGCGCTTCACAGGATTTACCGATGGGCCAAATGGCCTCCTTCTGTGCTGTAATATTCTCTGATTCTACGATGAAAGGCGGCGATGGGCTTCCGCGTGTGTCAGACCCCCGACTGGGATTAACAGTAAAGTTGATGTGCGTCGGCCCGCAGGGGGAATGCTGAGTGTGACCTACACCACCGCGGTGGCTGTGGGAGTGTCCTATTTCCAGTTCACCGACATCGACTCCGGACGCAATATCTTCATCATCGGCTTCGCTGTCTTCATGGCTTTGCTGGTCCCTCGCTGGTTCCTCCAACACCCCCAGCACATCTCCACAGGTATCAGCAGGCACGGCACACGGCACACGGCACACATGAGACATGATAAAGCACTGTATCAATGCAAGGATTATTATTATTATTATTTTTATTAGGTGTCCGGAGCCTGGATATCTTCATATTGTCTTTGCTGTCTATGCCTGTGATCCAGGGAGGAATCCTGGCCTATCTGCTGGATAACACTGTCTCAGGTAAGGACAAAGCTCAGTGGTTCCATCGCTCAGTCCCTGTCGATCCCGACTCATCTTGGGCAGTTATGTTAACTCTGGGAGTGTGGACGCACGGTGTAGAGGAGCTTTACTGTGTCTCTAACCCTGACCTGGGAGTGTGGACGCACAGTGTAGAGGGAGCTTTACTGTGTCTCTAACCCTGACCTGGGAGTGTGGACACACAGTGTAGAGGGAGCGTTACTGTGTCTCTAACCTTGACCTGGGAGTGTGGACGCACAGTGTAGAGGAGCTTTCCTGAGTCTCTAACCTTGACCTGGGAGTGTGGACACACAGTGTAGAGGAGCGTTACTGTGTCTCTAACCCTGACCTGGGAGTGTGAGCGCACAGTGTAGAGGAGCTTTACTGTGTCTCTAACCCTGACCTGGGAGTGTGGACGCACAGTGTAGAGGAGCGTTACTGTGTCTCTAACCCTGACCTGGGAGTGTGAGCGCACAGTGTAGAGGAGCTTTACTGTGTCTCTAACCCTGACCTGGGAGTGTGGACGCACAGTGTAGAGGAGCTTTACTGTGTCTCTAACCATCTGTGATGTGTTGTGTGTTGTGTTGGAAAAGCACAAAAATCATCAACAAAGGAAACAAGGGGAGAGATAAGAGAGTTAACACGGAATGGAACATAACCTTCTGGAGCTGCCGTGAAGCTGCAGAGTGTAGTCTAGAGCCTGTGTAAATACCAGGAGCTTGGCTCTGGATGTTTGGCTCTGTGCAGTGGCTGAGAGAGAGATGGCTGTTTGGTTTGGTTTGTTTCAGGGACGTTGGCGGAGCGGGGGCTGGTGGCTGGATTTCCCGGGCTGACGAGCGTGGAGGAGGGTCAGCCCGGACCGCGAGACTCAACTAATGTCTATCGTCTGCCCGCAGCCGTCAGACGTCTCCTGGAATGTCTGAGCCTCAGATCCTTTCCCTTGAGGAACCTCTGCCCAGACTCTGACCTGCCCCTGGTCTTGCCCGGTTCCCCTGAAGAGAAGACGGACTTCCTGCCGTGCTCCCGGGAGGGGGAAGGGGGAGGAACGCCAGCCATTGACGCTAGTAAAGAGCTGGGGGTCTTGGGGTGTTAGACGGACGAGTGTGAGCGGGCAGCGGGGGCGGGGGAGAGGGGGTGGTTGGGGGAGTATCTTTGACCAATGACCTTGCAGATCATGGATCGGGATGGAGTCTAGATGTTAAGCCACGATCTCACTCTTGCCTTTTTTTGGGGGTGGGGGGGGGGTTTATTTTTATATATAAAAACAATAAATAAATAAATAAATAAATAAATTGGTCACTCGACCCACCCCTGTCTGCGTGGGCCACCGCTGTGGCTGCCGCGTTTCGTCCGCAAAATGACACAGTCACTGCACTTCACAGCGTGGCCTGTGGAAGTCAGGGTTAGACCGAGTTGGGGTTGGCTTCGCTTTGGTCCAAGTATTTATAATGATAAAGGGATTCGATAGGGGCGGCTACAGAGAAACTATTCCCTCTGGTGGGTGAAGGAACTCCATCCCTTCAGTCCCTTCGCCTCCCTCCCTCCTTCCCTCCCTCCCTCCCTCCCTCACCTCCTCTTCAACCGCGCCTTGGGTCACCCTCCTACCCCCACCCTCCCTGCCCTCCACCCCCCAAGCTCAGGTCCAAAATCCCTGACTGTCCGGCGCCCTGGGACATCCTCCCGACGTGAAAGTCAGGCCCTGTGGTCAACGTCATGCGCTGTTGTTGTTGTTGTTGTTGTTGGAACTTTGATGCCAGTTTGACTGTCCACTTCTCACGAAGGGTTGAGTTTTTTTTTCAGCCCATTAAACTGGAGAGAGAGAAAGGGAGAGAGAGAGAGAGAGAGAGAGAGAGAGACTCCGACGGCACTGATTAGATATTAAAATTTAATCAATTAAATAGAATTTTTTTTTATACAAAGGATGTGATTTGGGTCACGTCCGAGGACGGAAACCACACACTGGGGAACAGGGACGTGGGTAAAAAATAGTGTCGGAACTTAAAACGGTTTTAAATTAAAACTTTACAGGCTGATAGTAGTTTCTATATAATAATATTAATAATAATAATAATAATAATAAACATTCAGAATTTTACAATTCTATATTACAATTCACAAGTACAAAAAATAAATTTCAATGAAACAAATAACACGGGGGGGGGGGGGGAGAGAGGAGAGATTTACAGGGCGCAGAGTGGGGGGTGGGGGGGTGGGGGCGAACAGTAAGACTGTCTCTTTGATAGATTATTTTGTGGGGTCTTCAATATGGCCAAAGTATAAATTATTATTTTAATAATTCTGAGTGAGATTGACAGAGGGGGGGGGTGGGGGGTCATATCGCCTATTTTCAGCCGAGAGAGAGCGTGAGCGGACGAAAGGGAAGCGAGAGAGAGAGAGAGAGAGAGAGAAGGGGCAAAAGAGAGAGAAAGAGAGAGAGAAAAAAGGGGGAATGAGAGCGCGCGGAAGTAAAAGAAGGGAAATGAGAGAGAGAAAGAGAGAGAACAGGGAAAGTGAGAGAGATAGAGGGGGAGAGAGATAGAGAGAGAGGGGGGGAAGATGGAGAGAAAGAACAAAGATGGTGAAAGAGAGAGATAGAGACAAAGATAGAGAGAGAAAGAGAGAAGAGGGAAATAGAAGGAGAGAGAACGTTGGATCTCAGTTCCTGTCCCAGTGATTGGCTCAGAGTAGCATTGGGACAACATGACGGGAGGTGAGGGGTTAGTGACTGTGATGGTGAGGGAGGGGTGTGGGTGGGTGTGGAGAAAGATTGTGGAGAAGAAAAACACCACCACCTTCCCCCCACCCCCACCCTCCGCATGATGGTACCTTTCAGAAATCATTGCCCACCCGCCCCCCACGATTGGGGATTGGGAAAGGGGGTGGGGTGGGGGGGAGTGGGGGGGGGGGAGAGAGAGTCAAATGACTCCCGCCCCCCCCCCCCCCCACCCCTCCTTTCCACCCCACCGTACACACATAATTTGCAAACGTCACAAATTAGACTCCTTCCCCCCACCGCCCCCTAACCCCAGCCCAGCTCCCCCCGCCCCCCCCACCAACCCCAGCACAGCCCCCCATGCCCCCCCCCCCCCGCCCTCACACAACTCCCGCCCCAACCCAACCCCCGCCAACAACAACAGGAAAAGTCTTCTTAGTTTTCCGTTCTCCGCGTCTCCCAGTCAATGGCTGACGTCTGACCGCCATTTATATATCAGGTGGGAAACCTCCTCGTGGCTTCTCCCCAGCGACGGAGAATTTCTCCGGTCGGTGTCAGTCCGGCTCACGCTCTCGCCTCCGAGTCACGAGGTTGTGGGGTGGGTTCAAATCCCTCACCCCCCCACCCACCCACCAACCCACCCATGTCAGGAGACTTTGAGCTCACAGTCCAGGCTGGGCAGCGGGGGGGGGGGGGGGGGGGGGGGGGGTGAGCGAGAGCTGGAGAGAGGGAGAGAGAGAGACAGAGAGAGCCACATTGTCAGGGACCCCCGTCCTTCGGATGAGATGTTAAACGGAGCTCCTCCACCCCCCCACTCCCCACTCCAACCATCCCCAGTGTGTGCCCTGTTCAGGTGGACGATAAAGATCTCCCTCTCCCCCCCTCTCTCTCTCTCTCTCTTTCCCGGTGTCCTGGCTGATAACATCCCGGATATATAGGAAGAATTGGCTGTTCACTTCGCGGCTGTTTGCGGGGGCCGTCGCTGGCTGCCACGCTCACGCACAAAATACACAGTCACTACAGCTGACAGCAATTCCTTGCAAAGGCACTATGAGACGCTTAAACACTCTGAGACGCTATCCTGAGTGAGAAGGGGACTTGTTGTTGTGATAAGACCGTGTGGCAGAAATCGAGGAGCATCAATTATTACCTTAATCACCAAATTAAGGGCACACGGATGCGTTTGAACATGGGTTAGCCCGTGGGCTATTATCCCAACATGCATTTTAGACCCTGACGTTACTCACAGAGGTGGCAGAATACATATATACATATACATGTGGATTAATTATATCAGTACGTGAGTGTGTGTGTGTGTGTGTGTATGTGTGTGTGTGTATGTTATATAAAGTGTGTTGCCACATGGTTGGAAACCAAACACTTTGGACAGCACTTTCCCGATATCTCCCGCTTAAACACGGTCAAGACATTTTTCCCGGAATTGGGAATAAAATGGGAATAAACCTTCGGACACGCGGTCGCAAAACATGCGGCGAACCATCACGGTGATCAGCCGGGTGTCTGACACGCACGGAAACCCATCGATGGGCTTCAGAGTCTCCAAACCAGCCCGTGAGTTCCACCACTGCCACGTGGGAAGGTTCAGAGCGCGAGGAGACGGCTGCTCTCCCGTGCCAGAGTTGGGAGTCGGGAGCCTTCCCTGGGAGTTTCTTTCACTAAACAAAAATCACCGCGGCTTCTGTGCAGAGAATTCCCACTTGCTCCTTTCCCTTCCCGTCCGTCCTATCCTGTCCTGTCCTGTGCGGTGGTGTCTGTAAGAGCAGCTCTTGAGGGCCGCACGGAGGGAGTAGGCCCGACTAGGCCTGACCTCAGCCCCGTGCCGTCCCCCAGGGGTGAAAGTAGTCCTCGCTGAGCAGAAGCCGTCCGAGCCGGTGCAGGAGGGCCGGGTACCAGTGTAACCCCTCTCGGAGGGGCTGGGAGGCCTGACCGGAGCCCCCCAGAGCCACGGATAGGCTGTGGCAGAACCTGAGAGGAGCCAGGGCCCACTGGGCCAGGACGTGTCCATCCACCGTGGCGAAACACGAAGCCAGGACTCCGTCCACCACCACCGTGCCTTCGCGGGTCAACGGGGCGTAGACCCCCGTCTCCGTCTGTAACCGGACCCTGACCACCAGGGCCGGGCGGCCCCCCAGTCCGTCCACGGTGTACAGATACTGCCCGGGCCGGACGGAGCTGGCAAACACAGGCCTGAAGCCCGCCAGGCCGGAGCTGCTGTTGTCCGCCGCAGCGAACACCAGATGGGCCGCCGTGAGCAGGAGTTTGCGATGAGGTTCCACCGTCTCCAGGGAGTAGAAGGTTTTCACCGCCACGGCCGACATGTCCAGGAAAGTGAGGAACTCGCTGTAGACCGGCCGTCCGCTCACGTCCACCGTCAGGACACGGTCCCCACCCCTCAGCGAGGACACCGGCCTCCGCAGGCCGCCCTCCGTCACCACGCTCGCATTGCCGGGGAAACAACCACCGGTCTTTGCCGCCACCGAATGTTCTGCCAAACAGAGAGCACGAGGTTAGTAGGGGAGACCAGGAGATATAACGTCATACAATAATAATATAATAATAATATTATAATAATAGTATATTAATAATAAAATAATATAATAAAATAATACAATGATAATAATTCAATAATAATACAATAATAACATAATAATAATATAATGATACAACAATAATATAATAATACAACAACAATAATACAACAATAATATAATAATAATCCTTGCATTTGGTAATAGCGCCTTAGAAAGGTGTTTCTCTCTCCCCGTGTCCGTGTGGCGTAAGGAAACCCTGACCTGACCTGTCCTGCCCGGGAATCGAACCCGGATCTCTCTCTCTCTCTCTCTCTCTCTCTCACTGGCGAGGCGAGCGTCCCTTAACCACCGAATCCCTGCCGTCCGATGTGGTGATAAGGCGCTAAGTCGGGCGATAAGGTGCGCGCGAGTTGGAGAGAACGGCCGCCCCGGGTGGCAGTGTTGAACGGAGTGAAGCTCTCGGGGCCGTTACCCCGCGTGAAGGGCTCTATGTAAACGCGAGGGGTTTGCTGTCGTGTCCGGCGCCGGTGGAAGGAGTGAGAGTTACCTGACTTGACCGAGCAGTGGACGTGGCTCTTGGATTCATAATAGACCCAGTCGAATCCGGCCTCCACTGCCAGGCGAGCCAACATGCCGTACTTGGCTCGGTCGCGGTCTGAGGTGGTGATGTCCACAGCCCGACCCTCGTAATGCAGGGACTCCTGAGAGTGATTGCCGTCCTCGTCCCAGCCCTCCGTCACTCTCAGCTTCACTCCCGGCCAGTGATTCATCACCGAGATTGCCAAGGCGTTCAGCTTGTCTTTACAGCGCTGTGTGTGCGGGAGAGAGAGAGAGAGAGGGCAAGTCATTAGAGTCTAGAGTCACACCACACTGTGTTTTTAATAAGAGTCTCTCGAGGGAGGGAGGGAGGGAGGGAGACAAACAGACAGACAGACAGACAGACAGACAGACAGACAGACAGACAGACAGACAGACAGACAGACAGACAGACAGACAGACAGACAGACAGACAGACAGACAGACAGACAGACAGACAGACAGACAGACAGACAGACAGACAGACAGACAGACAGACAGACAGACAGACAGACAGACAGACAGACAGACAGACAGACAGACAGACGGTGGAAGCAGAAAGTGTTGATTCTTTCCACGACAAATTAGATCAATTTCTGTTGGTAAATAACATCTGGAGATATGGTATATAGACACACACACACACACACACACACACACAGACACACACACAGACACACACACATACAGACACACACACACAGACACACACACATACAGACACACCACACACACACACAGATTACAGTATATAGTTTGAGACACGACATGTCAAGTGATGGCCAGGATGGTGGAAGGCGAAATGGATGGACCTCGGTCTTCTTTTGGCAGCAGATTCTTATGTTCTTATGCTATGTGTCTCTATACGTGTGTGAATGTGTGTCTGTGGGTGTGTGAGTGATGTCTGTGTGTGTGTCTGTAAGTGTGAGTGCGTGTCTGTGTGAATCCGCGTGTGTGAGTGTGTGCGTGAGTGCGTGTCTGTGTGTGTGAGTGCGTGTCTGTGTGTTTGAGTGCATGTGTGTGCGTGTGTGCGTGTGCGCGTGTCTGTGTGGATGTATTTATGGGTGTCTGACCTCCTCCTGTTCCTTGTGAGAGATGTTTTTCTCTAAACCTCCCCCTTGTAATTGTGTCTGAGCTGATGCTGTGTGTGTGGGGATGTCACAGCGTGCGGGGAAGTGTACAGACTGGGCTCGGAGCTGACCCCAGAGCCTGTCACCATCCTCTTCCTCGGGCTCAACAACACAGGAAGGGCTGGGGAGTCACCTCTGGCCCTGTCGCCTGGGCTCAGTCACACACGTCACCCACACAACACAGGCTGTTTGTCCTCAAAGTCAGCACACAGCCTGGGTTACAGCGGGGCGCGTGTGTGGGGGAGAGAGACACACACACACACACACACACTAACACCCCACACGCGCGCACACGAATACACACACACACACCAATACTACCGTACACACACGGTCTGTGGAGAGACACACGCGTACACACATTCACACACACAGACACACGCTCTGTGCGCATACACACAGTCCGGGTAGAGAGAGACGCAAACACACACATACACAAACACATGCACACACTGGGCAGAGAGATACGCACAGTCTGTAAAGAGATGGACATCCCCACAAATAGCCATGACCTCAAACGGCCGATTTTACAGTATCTGTAGTCTGGAGAGATTGCCAGGAATAGGAGGAGGCCATTCAGCCCCTCGAGCCTGTTCCGACATTCTATAAGATCACGGCTGATCTGTACCTCAACTCCAATCACGCACCTTTGCCCCGTATCCTCTGACACCCTGACCTCACAAACATCTCTCCTCCTCAAGTCTTGAAGCCGTGAATGGATCTCCGGCCATAATCCACAGCCTTTTGTGGGAGGGAGAGAGTTCCGGAGTCCCACTGGCCTTTGAGTGAAAAGGCCCTGATTTCACACCTGAGTGGCCTGGCTTTAACTTTAAGATGATGCCCACCTTGTTCTGGATTCGCCCCCACCCCACCCACCCACCCACCCACCCACCAGAGGAAACAGTTTCTCTGTCGCTGCCCCAAGGGAGTCCCTTTATCGTTTGAAACACCTCGAACTGATCACCTCTCAACCTTCTAAACTCCAGTGGACCTGTGATACACGAGGGCTGTTGTGCTCAGGTGCGAGAGTAAGTCACACCTGTAAGAGCGACCGAGAGGTTGATGGTCCAGGTAATCAACGTGAGGAATAACTGGCCATGGGGGCGTGGATGATTCAGCAAACGGCTCAAAGTATGTTGGCAACGACACTCGCTCAAAGATCGGCAACTTTATGACACGGGCTTGGAATTTTTATTGTGGGGACTGCAGGTGTGAGAGCGAGTGTGTGTGTGTGTGTGAGTGAGCGAGTGTGTGAGTTAGTGTGTGAGTGTGTGACTTGAGTGAGTGTGTGACTGAGTGTGTGACTGAGTGAGTGAGTGTGTGAGTGAGTGTGTGACTGAGTGAGTGTGTGAGCGAGTGAGTGAATGTGCCAAGTGAGGCATCAACAGCAATAACGTGTACACAGCACCCTTCGGGCAGGATAGCCCCCCAGAGCGCTTGACAGTGATGAAGCCAGATGGACGGCTTTTCGGAGCATTCATTACCCCGGTCTCTTCCCCCGCGCCCCCCCCCCACCAACCCCAAATTGGCTGCCACGTTTTGCCCAAAAAACATACAGTCACTACACTTTACAGCATATTCTGCAAAGCGCTTTGAGACATCTCAACTGCGTGATAAGGATCAACGCGAGGATTATTATTATCATTATTATTATAAACCCCAGTCTATTCCCACTGCTAATCCCATCGGCATGCATTTATTTATTTATTTATTACCAGGCCACAGAAGACCAAGGTCCATCCAGTTTGCCTTCCACCATCCTGGCAGTCGCTTGACATGTCATGTCCCAAACTATACACTGTCTCCCCCCAGATATGCTATAAATTGCAGCGACTGTGTGGTTTGCGGACGAAACGATCCTTAACGTCCACCTGAACAGGCAGATGGGGAGTGAGGTTTAACGTCTCATCCGAAAGACAGTGTCTCCGACAATACAACACCCCCCCCCCCCCCCCACCACCCCAGCGCTGGGCTGGAGCATCAGCTTAGACTGTGTGACTCCGAATCGCCACATGGGGGTTCGAACCCACAACCTTCTGACTCTGGGGCGAGAGAGAGCGAGAGTGAGTGAGTGAGAGAGAGAGAGAGAGAGAGAGAGAGAAAGAGAGAGAGAGCGCTACCCCCTGTGCCGGGCTGACAATTGGCACGTTCACTCTCTCGAGCGCTCTCACACCTGCAGTCACCTTCATAAAAATTCCTCTAATAAACTTTGAGCTGTTGATGAATCACAGACACCCCGTTGTCAGTTATTCCCTCGTGTTTATTACCTGGTGTGTGACAACATGCACTCACGCCTGAGCAAAACCGCCCTCCTTTATCACAGGTAAACCCGATGCTCACCTGGGCGGGGTGGGGAGGGGATTTGGGGGGGGGGGAGGCAAGAGGGAGGGGAGAGGCAAGGAAAATAACCATAGGAACATAGTAACATAGGAACAGGAGGAGGCTATTCAGCCCCTCAAGCCTATTCCACCATTCGGTACCTGATCACGGCTGATCTGTACCTCAACTCCAATTACCCGCCTTTGGCCCATATCCCCGTGATCCGCTGACCCAACAAACATCTCCCCACTTCAGTCTGGACAATGTGACTGGATCCAGCCGTAATCTACGGCCTTTCGGGAGCGAGAGAGAGAGAGTTCCAGATTCCCACCGGCCTTTGGGTGAAAAAATCGCCTCCTGATTTCACTCCTAAGTGGCCAGGCTCTGATTTTAAGTTGACGCCCTCCTTGTTCTGGATTCCACCCTCCACCCCCCCCCAGCACCCACCAGAGGAAATAGCTGCTCTGTAGCTGCCCCTATCAAATTAGATCACCCCTCAGCCTTCTAAACTCAAGGGAATGTGACCTGTCCTTAATAAAGTGTCATTGGCAGCCACTCGTACAACAGATAAAATAGATGCATTATAATTGGGTCCCATTGTAATAATCCTTGTGTTTGATAAACCGCCTTATTATGTTGTCACAACCACAGGATGAGAGAATCGGAGAGAGAGAGAAAGAGAGAGAGAGAGAGATACCCACTCAAAAAGAGAAGGGAGTTTCTCTCCTGGTGTCCTGGCCGACAATCTCCTGAGAAAAATCAAGAGAGAGAGAGAGAGAGACCACATTCTGGGAAAAGGTGGGTTTGTTTTCAGTGCTATAAAAGTCTGTTTGCTGTAGGTCACTGAGGTAACAGGTAAGTTCCAAACTACTTCCTTCAGTGGCACCTGGTGTAAGAGGCTCTCCCCTCCCCCCCCACCCACCACCACCACCTCCGCCACCTGTCAGCACCTTGCCGATGGCAGCACAGCCCGGCCCGGCCCGGCTCATCGGCAGGACCTGGAAGGGCCGACCAGTCACTGGGGGCAGGAAGTCCTCCCCCTCAGCTCCTGGTAACCCCACAGCCAAAGCCCTAACTCACGGGGAGGGGGGTCCTGGCTGGACAAGCAGCGGGAAAGCTTGGCCAGACAGCGCTCGCTCTCTCTCTCAATGGCCAAGCTACGTGGGTATAGCTGGTTAGGCTCCAGCAGTTACACCAACGCACACTCTGGGCTCCCCCCAAGCAGCAGGAGATCAACGTCCTCAACGTGATGACCATTCCCAGTCCGTCACAAACACTGCCAGCCCTAGCCCCACCCCCACTGCCCCCCCACCCGCTCCCTACCCTGGGATAACACAGCCCTGGAGATGCCCCCTCTGGCTTGACCCCATCCCTGAGTCAACAAGAGGGCCTGAGAGCAGATAGCTTATCTGGGATGGACTTTAGCTTCTCTCCACATTCCTGCTTCACATTTTGGCACTTTGTGTGTGTCAGAGGGAGAGAGAGAGAGGGAGAGAGAGCGAACTCAGCCACTGACTGTATCCCCACTGCAGTTTGTGATCATTTGCAACACCCAATTCTACCCTCACTCTCTCTCTCTCCCTCCATCTCTCCCTCCCTCGTTCCCTTCCTTCCTTCCTCCCCTCCTATCTCCCTCCTTCCCTCGAACTCCCCGTCTGCTTGGACGTTAAAGATCCCGCGGCGCTATTCGAAAAGAGACAGACAGGACTTTCTCTCTCTCTCTGTCTCTCTCTCTCTCTCGTGGTGTCTTGGCCAACAATCCCCCCAAATAAAATGTGGTCACTCAATCCACGGCCGTGCGTGCGTGCGTGCGGGACGCTGCTCTACGCAATTGGCTGCCGCGTTTCGCCCACAAAAAAAACACAGTCACTGCGCTTTCCAGAGTATCCCGTGAAGCACTTTGGAGACGTCTCGACGACGTGATAAGGAGCTGTATCAGATGCCAGGATTATTATCAATAGGAATTTTTACACCGTTCCGCACCCCCTTAAATTTTCAAGGGACAAAGGTTTCGCAGGCTAAGACTCAATGGAATTTTGGGCCTGTGGCCAGCCCCCAGGTGCCATGTACGTACGTGCCTGTGACTTACACTCGATCCCCGTCTATCTCTTACAAACTGCAATCCTCACCAGGCTACAAAGTGCAACAACTCTTCGATGACCCCGAGAGCGGTCGGTGCAAAGGAAGTGTAACCCATCCCCTGGAAGCCAAATTCCCCTGGCTCTTAGCCCTCAGACCACGGCTGTAAAATTTAATGCCCGTGAGGAATTTTTGCAAAACACGGTCATTAACGTCAGTCACAGCCCAGAAGCCAGGTCGTAAAAAACAGGGATCTGCGGCTCCCCAGGTTTGCACTGAATCAACTTCCATTTAATCTCTTGGTATCCAGTGGTTTCCAGCAGCCGGCAGGAGCGAGGCATTGCACGCTATATCCATTCCACCTGCAGTCGATATAATAGCAATAATAATCCTTGCATTTGATATCTCGCCTTATCGCATCGTTTTAGACGTCTCAGACGCTTCCCAGGATCCACTGTAAAGCGGAGTGACTGTGCCTTTGGTTCTCAGTGCCCCACAAACAGTCGTTTTAATCGTTCTCCCATAACCCGGGGTTAATAACTGCTTTTCCGGGGGGGGTAATAATCCCTACGGAAAAAAAAGAACCCGGTCACTCAATCCTCGGCTGTTTGTGGGGACGCCGCTGTGCGCAATTGGCTGCCACGTTTAGCCCACAAAATATACAGTCACTACACTTTACAGTATGTTCTGTGAAGCGCTTTGAGACGTCTCGAAGACACGATATCGAATGCGAGGATTATTATTATTATTACGACTCTGCTCTCTTGAGTACAGACTTGTTCAAATGTCAGTCTGGCTCAGTCAGTAACCCTCTCATCTTCGGGTCAGAACAGGGCCTGACTCTGAGCTCACAGTCCAGGCTGACCCTCCAGTACAATGCTGGGGGGAGAGGGAGAGCACCGCATTGTCGGTGGGGGGGGGGGGGGGGTCCTTCAAGTGAGACGTTAAACCGTCTTCTGTGTCCTGTTCAGATGGACGTTAAAGATCCCACAACCCTATTGGAAAAGAGAAGGGAGTTTCTCTCTCTCTCTTCCCGGTGTCCGAGCCAACAATCCCCCCCCCCAGATAAAACCAGTCATTCACATTGTTGAAACCTAGGAGGAGGCCATTCAGCCCCTCGAGCCTGTTCCGCCATTCTACAAGATCGTGGCTGATCTGTACGTCAAGTCCAATGACCCGCCCTGACCCCTTAAGACGCTGACCTAACAAACACCTATTTCCAACTGTTGTGGGACGTTGCTGTGACAAGAAAAAAGGCTTCCGCGATTAGCAACAAATACACAGTCACTACACTCTCCAGCCATCTCCCATGTGGAGCTGTCAGATATCACTGATGTTTTCTGCGCTGTATCAAACGCGAAGGGCAATGGTAACGAGACCACAGTAACGAGATCTTCCTTCAAATATTCACCTTCTTTGGTTTCCGGATTCTCCGCGAAAAAAAAATGTGTGTTTGACAAATAAATAAATGCCGATGTGGGGTTAACGGTGGGAATAGACCGGGGTTTATAATAATAATAATAATAATAACCCTCGCATTCGATACAGCGCCCGATCACGTCGTCGAGACGTCTCAAAGCGCTTCACAGGATACACTGCAAAGTGTAGTGACTGTGCACTTTGTGGGCGAAACGCGGCAGCCGATTGCACACGGCAGCGTCTCCACAAACAGCCGTGGATTGAGTGACCACATTGTGGGGGGGGGGGGGGGGGGGGCGGGGAGAAGGTATCATTACCTCGAGAAAGCGATCCGCCAATCGACTAACAACCGGGTTCCCACTGACTGCCGGTAAACACAGGTGTGCGCGTGGATACGGAAACTTGCCTGAGGTTTCGCCCCTGACCCGCCCGGGTATCAAACCCGGATCCTCTCGCTCGCTCGCGGCGACATTTCAAAGAACTTCACAGTTCCTGTGTACTTTCCGACGTCCTCCCAATGCTATATCAAACACACAACCCGCTAACCACCACGCTACACACACATACACACACATATACACACACGCACACACATATAAACACCCATACATACACACACACCCACACACATATACACACACACACACACACGGATATCTACATATACTCGTATACATATACTACACACAAATAAATACATACTTACACGGGTATACCTACTCACACATACAGATATACTACACACACACACAAGGTAAGTCTTTAAGGTATGCATCAAAAAGTAAGATCTATCGCAATCAATTGCAGTCGCCTACAAGATACACAGTCACTACACTCTACGCTACAGCATATAATAATCCTTGCATTTGATGCATCCTGCAAAACGCTTTCAGACATCTTCCTGACGTGAAGAGGCGTTATTATCGAATGCAAGGATATTATTCACAATAAAACTGTCGAGATCCCTGCTAAGGATCTCACCTCTTATCTGACTAAACTCTATATTTAAACGCTGACCCTGAATTGTCTGTTCTTTTGACGACAACAGCCTTAGGATCAGTGTACAAAGGTTATTGTCAGTTTAGCACAGACACAAGTGGAAATAGTTTGCCTGCCCTCCAAAACACTCCACAGACCGACCCACTGTTTCCGTTTCAGTTTAGACAAAAATAATATTATTATTAAAAAAAAACAGAGAGAGAGAGAGACGAGATTGTGGAATAAATAACACGTCGTTTAAAGCTTAAAAAAAAAAACACGTTTCCTGCTTCATGTAAATACTTTTAAATTTCTGTTTTGTTTTTTTGGCGAAAAAAAATATCAGTAGATCAACAGTGGAAAGAATAATAATAATAATTCTTGCATTTGATACGGCGCCTTATCATGTCTTCAAGTGGTCTCAAAGCGCTTCACAGCTCATACTGTAAAGTGAATTGACTGTGTATTTTGTGGGCGAAAGAAATATCAACTCATTTCATTTCATTTCCACCGGTTTCAGGCAAAAGAACCTTGCATTTTTGTCTCAATTTTTATTAATACTAATGGTACTTGTGTTTGACATAGCGACTTATCGCGTCGTAGAGACTTCTCAAAGCGCTTCACAGAATACATATTCTAAAGTGGATTGACTGTGTGTCTTGTGGGCGAAACGTGTATTTTGTTTTCTTAAAACAACTTTTTTTTTCGCGTGCGCGAGTGTGATAGAAAAAGTTTGGGGAGCGGAAAAAAGTTTGGGGTCGAACGTTAGGTTTCGAGTCAACCCTTTTGCGTGTCGTCCCTTCCAAAGCAATTCATCCCTCGCTTCAGTTCATGCGGGTCGGAGACACAGAGACAGAGACACACACACACACAGAGAGACACACAGAGCCACACAGAGAGAGACAGAGACAGAGAGAGAGACACAGAGAGAGAGACAGAGACAGAGACACAGAGAGAGAGAGACGGAGACAGAGAAAGAAACCTAAAGTACCAATTTACAGCTCTTTAAATCACGATACACTGCGGAAACCCCTTACCCCACTTTGGAATAACTTCCCCTTTTCTTTTCCCCAAAATAATTTCAATACTTTCCTTTCTCTCTCCCCCCCCCCGCCAATAGTTTTGTTGACGTCCCTCGGTTTTCCGAATAATTGCCCCCTCTTTCCCTGCAAATAATTTACAATAATTTCCCCCTTTCCCTTTTCTCAATAATTCCAGTAAATTGCCTCCTCACCCTCCAAATGATTTGCAGTGCCTTTATCCCCAAACAATTCCAATAATTTCTCCACATTAATTTAAATATTTTCCCCCTTCCCTTCCCAATAATTTCCCTCTTTCTTTTCCCTAAATAATTTCAATAATCCCCCTCCTTCCTTTCCCCCGCAATAGTTTCACTACTTTTTCCCTACGTCCCCATATATTTTCCCCTATCTGTTCCCCCAATAACGTCAATACATTTCCACGCCTCCTTTCCCAATAATTTTCCCTTTTCCCCCCAAAAAAAATTTCAGGATCAAGAAAGAGAGAGCGCATTGCCCCCCACTCCACCCCCACTCCGCTCTCCTCTCCTCTCTTACCTGAGTCATGAGACGATCAGCTCCTGTCCTCTCCTCGTCCTTGAAGATGATGTCTGGGTTGTAGTTGGGAATCATCAGCTCCTTGAAGCGGGATGTGTTCCTGGAGATCTTGTGCTCAGACCTGCCGCTGGCTCCCAGGGTTTTCTCGGCGACTTTGGGGAGGAATTCCTTGTAGGAGAGTGGGGTGAGCTTGCGGTTGTGCCGTCTCCGTCCATAGCCTCTGCCCGGCCCACAGGCCCTCGCCCCCGGCCACAAGACCAGAGCATAGCTGGTCCCCAACAGTAACACTCGCCACAGTCTCATCCCTTCCCTGGGTGGGGGTCCGGGGAGGGGTGGGTGGGGGGTGGGAATCGCCCTTCACTCCAATGGGATGGTGCTGCCAAGACGCGAGGACTCTTGGCTTCTCGCTCTCACTCTCTCTTTCTCCCTCCCCACCAAAAATAAAAATAATAAAAACTTCCCCCTTTTCCCCCAATAATTTCAATAATTCCCCCTCCCTTCCCAATATTTGCCCCTTCCTTTCCACCAAAAATAATAATCCTCCCCCCCCTCCTTACCCCTCAAATAATCCTCCCTCCCTCCTTTCACCCTCAAATAATTTCAATAAATTTCCCCCCAACCTCCTCAATAATTTCAATAAGATGTCTCCAGTATTCCCAATAATTCCCCCTTTATTTCTCCCAGACAACTCCCCTCTCTTTTCCCCCAAAGGGGGTTTCTCTGTGCCTCTGCCCCACTACCCCAACCAACCAACCCCCACAGGGAAGCTGACTGCTCAGCCTTGCCTCCCCGGGTCTCTAACCTTCCCCATTGAGTGCGTAAAAGCTCCCCATTTGCGCACAGAGGGAGAGAGAGAGTGAGTGAGTGAGTGTGAGAGAGAGACAGAGAGAGAGAGAGAGATGGGCTGAGAATCTCTATGCCCAGTACCTCTCCTCTTTTAACCCCAAATCACAGCCCCTCAAACCACAAGTAAGTCCCTTCTAATCGTTGCATTGGAGCCAATGAGCTCTGGGGCAATTTTGCACCCACTTTTTGTTTTGGTGGGGGGCGGGGGGGCGGGGGGGGGATAGAGGGGGGTTGGGGGGGGGGGGGGTGGCGAAGAGAGAGAGAGAGCTACACACACAGAGAATAGCAGAGAGATCAGACCTGGAGGAAGGCACCAAAAGCAAATGAAATCAGGGAGTTGTAGGGACAATAACACACTCAGAGACACACGGGGTTACTTAGAGGGAGAGTGACTGGGAATTACAGGGATCACACACACACACACACACAGAGTAACTGGGAATTACAGGGATCACACACACACACACACACACACACACACAGAGTAACTGGGAATTACAGGGATCACACACACACACACACACACACAGAGTAACTGGGAATTACAGGGATCACACACACACACACACACACACAGAGTGACTGGGAATTACAGGGATCACACACACACACACACACACACAGAGTAACTGGGAATTACAGGGATCACACACACACACACACACACACACACACACACAGAGTAACTGGGAATTACAGGGATCACACACACACACACACACACAGAGTAACTGGGAATTACAGGGATCACACACACACACACACAGAGTAACTGGGAATTACAGGGATCACACACACACACACACAGAGTAACTGGGAATTACAGGGATCACACACACACACAGAGTAACTGGGAATTACAGGGATCACACACACACACACACACACACACACACAGAGTAACTGGGAATTACAGGGATCACACACACACACAGAGTAACTGGGAATTACAGGGATCACACACACACCACACACACACACACAGAGTAACTGGGAATTACAGGGATCACACACACACACAGAGAGACACAGTTACTGGGAGTCACAGGGATCAGAGACACAGAGAGAGAAACACACACGTACTCTTTCTTAGAGAGAGTAATTGCGAGCTGTAGGGATCACAGAGAAACACACACACACTCCCCACACACACACACACACTCCCCACACCACACACACACACTCCCCACACCACACACACACACTCCCCACACACACACACAGCCCGAGAGAGTAACTGTCACACAGAGAAAGACAAGAGTCACAACACATACAGTCACAGAGAGACAAACACAGTCACAGAGAGAGAAACTGTCACAGAGAGACACTTCGAGACACACACACACACACAACTAGACAGACACTCACACACAGACACTCACACACAGACACTCACACACACTCACACACACACAGACACTCACACACAGACACTCTCACACAGACACTCTCACACAGACACTCTCACACAGACACTCACACACACTCACACACACACAGACACTCACACACAGACACTCTCACACAGACACTCACACACACACACACAGACACTCACACACAGACACTCACACACAGACACTCACACACACTCACACACACACAGACACTCACACACAGACACTCTCACACAGACACTCTCACACAGACACTCACACACACTCACACACACACAGACACTCACACGCAGACACTCTCACACACTCACACACACACAGACACTCTCACACAGACACTCTCACACAGACACTCACACACACACACTCACACACACACACAGACACTCTCACACAGACACTCACACACACACACTCACACACACACACACACACACACTCACACACACACACTCACACACACACACACAGACAGACAGACTGTTAGATATTACAGACCTGCAGAGCAGTACAGCACACAGCCCAGCACAGCACAGCCCAGTACAGCACAGTCCAGCACAGCCCAGCACAGCAGTGCAGCCCAGCACACAGCCCAGTACACAGCCCAGCACACAGCCCAGCCCAGCACACAGCCCAGTACACAGCCCAGCACACAGCCCAGCACAGCCCAGGACAGCCCAGTACAGCGCAGCCCAGTACAGCGCAGCCCAGTAAAGCCCAGCTCAGCCCTGCCCAGCACAGCACACAGCCCAGTACAGCCCAGTACAGCACACAGCCCAGCACACAGCCCAGTACAGCCCAGCACACAACCCAGCACACAGCCTAGTACAGCCCAGCACACAGCCCAGTACAGCCCAGTACACAGCCCAGCACAGCACACAGCCCAGTACAGCCCAGCACAGCCCAGCACACAGCCCAGTACAGCCCAGTACAGCACAGCCCAGTACAGCCCAGTACAGCCCAGCACAGCCCAGCACACAACCCAGCACACAGCTTAGTACAGCCCAGCACACAGCCCAGTACAGCCCAGCACACAGCCCAGCGCAGCACACAGCCCAGTACAGCCCAGCACAGCCCAGCACACAGCCCAGTACAGCCCAGTACAGCACAGCCCAGTACAGCACAGTCCAGTACAGCACAGCCCAGTACAGCCCAGTACAGCCCAGCACAGCCCAGCCCAGTACAGCCCAGCACAGCACAGTACAGCCCAGTACAGCACAGCCCAGTACAGCACAGTACAGCCCAGTACAGCACAGCACAGTACAGCACAGCACAGCCCAGTACAGCCCAGCACAGCCCAGTACAGCACAGCCCAGTACAGCCCAGCCCAGCACAGCCCAGTACAGCCCAGCACAGCCCAGTACAGCCCAGTACAGCACAGCACAGCCCAGTACAGTACAGCACAGTACAGTACAGCACAGTACAGTACAGCACAGCACAGCCCAGTACAGTACAGCACAGTACAGCACAGTACAGGACTCAAATTGTGTGACAGAGAGAGAGAGAAACTGCGCACAGTAAAGAGATGAGGGTTCGGCTCCGCGGCTCTCACACCCGTCAGTCCTGTGGGCAACACACGGCCCGAGACCCCCAGTCAGTGCCCACCGACACCCACAGCACAGTCACACACACAGTCACACAGACAGTCACACACACACTCACACAGTCACACACACACTCACACAGTCACACAGTCACACACACACTCACACTCCCACACACAGTCACACAGTCACACACACAGTCACACACACACACAGTCACACACACACTCACACACACACTCACACTCCCACACACAGTCACACATTCACACACACAGTAACACACACAGTCACACACAGTCATACTCACAGTCACACACAGTCACACACAGTCACACACACACTCACACAGTCACACACACACTCACACAGTCACACACACACTCACACAGTCACACAGTCACACACACTCACACAGTCACACACAGTCACACATTCACACACACAGTAACACACACAGTCACACAGTCATACTCACAGTCACACACTCACACACAGTCACACACACACTCACACACAGTAATACTCACAGTCACACACAGTCACACACACACTCACACACAGTAATACTCACAGTCACACACACAGTCACACACACACACAGTCACACACTCTCACACACACAGGTACACACACAGTCACACACTCAACACACTCACAGGTACACACTCACACACACACAGGTACACACACACACACAGGTACCCACTCACACACACAGGTACACACACACACAGGTACACACTCACACACACACAGGTACACACTCACACACACACACACACAGGTACACACTCACACCCACATGTACACACTCACACACAGGTACACCAGCCCCGTGTCTGCACAGCTCCGGGAGTGAGTGTCACACACACAGTCACACACACAGTCAGTCTGAGCGCTGCTCTCAAACCGCACCCACTTTCCAACCGCGCCCCCGAGGCGCACTCCCACCCCCTCCCCCCCCCTCCTGCCCCCCCCTCCCCCCCCCCTCCCCCCCTTCCTGCCCCCCCCCTACCTGCCACCCCTGCCCCCCCCCTCCTGCCCCCCCTACCTGTCACCCCTGCCCCCCCGCCCTCCTGCCACCGCCCCTGCCCCCCTGCCCTCCCCCCCGCACTCCTGCGCCCCCTGCCCTCCCCCTGCCCCCCTGCCCTCGCCCCTGCCCTCCCTCCCCTCCTGCCACCCTGCCCTCCTGCCACCCTGCCCTCCCCCTTGCCCCCCCTCCCTCCCCTCCTGCCCCCTTGCCCCCCCTGCCCTCCCTCCCCTCCTGCCCTCTTGCCCTCCCCCCTGCCCCCCTGCCCTCCCTGCTCTGGCATACACAGGGGCACTCACCCCTACGCTCTCACCCACCCTCTCCCTACCCTCCTGCCCTTCCTGCCTCCCCTGCCCTCCCTGCCCCCCTTGCCCTCTTGACCCCCTGCCCTCCCTGCCCTGGCACACAGACAGGGGCACTCACCCCTACATTCTCACCCACCCCCCCCACCCCCACTCCCTCTCCCTCCCTGCCCTGGCACACACAC